TCCTGTTGTCTAACAGCATCCTGAACTAAATTGACTTTGCTATTGGGAGTCTGCGTGAAATAGAAATAAAATAATTTATTCATGGCTTTATTTTAAAACTTATTGCTTTCCTTATTGTATAATAGTACATTAGCAAGAGAAGAAATTCCGAATAAATTATAGGTGTCATGAAATGTTAGGATCATTTTTGAACTTTCAGTTATTAAACTATATATCCACAACAAAATGCCAATGAAATAATTAATACTGAATAAACAGGTAAAATGATATTGATATGGTTTAGAAAACATTTTCTAGCTACCAGGTAGCAGCATATTGCTTGACTGCTCTGCAGAAATTTAGCATCCAGTTTTAATCTCTGAGGTGGAACAAGTCAGGTATGTAGGAATATATGAGCAATGAAGCTAGAAAAATACCTTAGAAACCACTGAAGATGATGGAAATATATGAAGCAATCAGAATATTTTTATCAGGTTTCCTTTCTAGAAAATATTTTATTTATACACATATTCCTTTCCTCTTTTCCCTGTACCTATCTATTTTTCCCTGAATCTGCTCTGAAATGTATCCTTATAATTAAGAACTATTTTTGGGCCTACAGAAAGAGCTAGAAGAAACAGCAGTTCCATCAATGGAAAAGATTAACTGAATAGGTTTGATGCTTTCTTTTATTTCATTACTATTTAAGAGAGAAGGATAAAATGCTATTAACTATTAGCTAGAAAAAAAAATGAAATAATATTCAGCAAGGTATTACCATACTTTTTATTGGTACTTACCATATTTTTCGGAGTATAAGACACACGTTTCCCCGCCCTAAAAGAGGCTGAAAATTTGGGTGTGTCTTATACTCCAACTGTAGGTTTTTCTAAGCTTTTTTTCAGCCCTAATGAGGCGCTAGCAAGTGAAGCGATCTTCCAAGCTTTGCCTGCTCCCTCCGACTCTCAGATGTGCTTTAAAAGCTTTTTTTCAGCCCTAATGAAGTGCTAGCGAGTGAAGTGATTTGCCTTCCGAGCTTTGCCTGCTTTTCTCATTGCTGCTCCCTCTCAGCTGTGCTTTAGCAGGGGATAAAAAGTGTGTGCGCGGGCTCAAAACCAGCAATGTGCTGAAGCTGACCAAACTAAGGACGCTAGGCAGATGAATACCTGGTAGGCAGATTTCCCCCCCCCTATTTTCCTCCCCAAAAACTAAGCTGCGTCTTATACTCTGGTGTGTCTTATACTCTGAAAAATATGCTACATCTTAGTGAAATATTTCAGCAAATAAGCTTTAGTATGTATCACATTGATTAATGAAACAGTAAGAAAAATTATATTAAATTACTGAGCAGCTTAGTGCTCTCTGGAACAGTAATGTGTGTTACAAATAACAATCCTACATCAGTATTTTATTAGTACAGTACTTTGAGGAGGTCAATAATGACATGAGGATATGTGGCCCACTGATAAAGAATTAAAACTTCCAGCACCCATATTCAACAATATTAATTACAGGTCAACAACCCTGGAGGATCATTTTCTTATTTATGTAATGGAAGGATAGTAAACAAGAAAACACTGCTTGTAGCAACTGCTCTTCCTTGGTTAATCTAGACGTTCCATAATCTTAGAACAAATAGCCCATCCCAACCTATCCAATCAGTTAACCAGAGCAAAGGGAAACAAAACAGTTAATGTCACTTAGTCCTTTCCAGTAAACTGAAATTGTTTTGTACAGCATACTCAAAAGATAGGTGATACTACATATCCTGCACAATGTGAATTGTGCTTTTACAGCTAGCAGTGGTAGGTAGCAGTGTGACTATAAATGACTTAAATATAAATGAATTTGCACTTTCAGTTTTTATGTAGCAATCAACAGCACAATTTGGTTTTGTCAAGTTATCAATTAAATTATTTTGGTAAATTTATCATTAATACTAGCTCTTCCTATGCTATGTAGCATATCAGCCATTGCTGTTCCCAAGCCCGGATGAGAAAGAACAAGGTTTAGGGATTGGGCTGGCAACCCATAAAAATTATAACCACTACAGAAACATATATACCTCCATGATATATAATGGAGATAAAGAATGAGGCAGCATATACTGCTCTGGTTTTTTGAACCAGCAAGCGAAAAACTTCGTTAAGGCAATAGATAGCTCCTTCATAAATAGTATCTTCTTAGGACCTTATTTATGGAACTCTACTGTTTCCTCTTATCACCAACTTTTTTAAAAAATATAGAAAACTGGGGGGAAAATCCACACAATCGATGTTTATTTTTACTTGCAATTATATTCAAGGAATAGGAGTATGAGTAGAGGTATCCTACTGCGACGCCTCGAGGGGTTAGGGGTGGGAGGCACTGTTTTACAGTGGTTCTCATCCTACCTCACGGGTTGTTCGCAAGCGGTGTTGGCGGGGGGACAGAGGTCGGCCCCGAGGCCCCTTATGTGTGGGGTGCCCCAGGGGTCGGTCCTCTCTCCCCTTTTGTTCAACATCTATATGAAGCCGCTGGGGGAGATCATCCATGGTTTTGGAGTGGGGTATCATCAGTATGCTGATGATACCCAACTTTTTCTATCCACCCCAAATCAGCCCAGCGATGCCCTCGACGTGATGTCCCGGTGCCTGGAAGCGGTGCGGCTCTGGATGGGGAGGAACAGGCTTCGGCTCAACCCTGCCAAGACGGAGTGGCTGTGGGTACCGGCATCTTGCTTCCATAGGGATGCTCTACCGCTGGTTATAGGGGGTGAGGTGTTGCCCCCTGTTGACAGGGTGTGCAACTTAGGCGTCCTCCTGGATTCACGGTTGTCTCTGGAAGATCATGTTATGACCATGACCACGGGGGCATTTTCCCAGATTCATCTGGTGCGCCAATTGCGCCACCTGGACCAAGATGCCCTACGCATGGTCACTCATGCGCTGGTCACCTCCCGGATTGACTACTGCAACGCTCTCTATATGGGGCTGCCCCTGAAGACCATTCGGAGGCTTCAGCTGGTGCAGAATGCGGCCGCGCGGGTAGTGATGGGAGTGTCCTGATGCTCTCATGTTACACCCCTCCTGTGCGACCTGCATTAGTTACCTGTTGCCCTCCGTGTCAGATTCAAGGTGCTGGTGATTACCTATAAAGCCCTACATGGCTTAGGACCGGGATATTTGGCAGACCTTCTGCGGCCAGCAGTAGCTCCCCATCGTCCAGTGCGTTCCCACAGAGAGGGCCTACTCGGGGTGCCATCGGCCAGACAGTGTCGGCTGGCCACCCCTAGGGAGCGAGCCTTCTCTGTGGGCGCACCTACCCTCTGGAATCAGCTCTCTCTGGAGCTCCGGATGGCCCCCGATCTTCACTCTTTTCGCCGCGAACTAAAAATGTGGCTATTTCGCCTGGCCGGCCTGGATTGATGGGTTTTTTAAAATGGATTTTAATTGATTTTAGGGATTTTATGTGTACTTTTAACCCGGAGTTTTTGTTTTATTTTTTCTGTTTTATTGTTGTGAGCCGCCCTGAGTCCTCTCGGAGAAAGGGCGGCATATAAGTCTAAACAAATAAATAAAAATAAGAGAACACTAGATAACTACATTACTAGTTACACAGAAAAAATACAAAAAGACTATTATAGTACTAATGTATTCATTGATATTAAAGCATGAAAGGAAGCAGTTAAATGAAAAGGTATTGGAATTAGAGAATAAGAAATTAAACAACTCATTGATTTACAATAGTGATGTTAGAAACAAAAAACAAAGTTAGTAGGCATGAATTTACTTTAAACTACTACTCTTTAACAGATTTAATTTTTTCAATAAAGCATTTCTTAAGCATTAAGTACTCAGTCTTACAATTTACAGATATATAATTAGTGGAAACATTCCCTCAAACTGTAGGTAATGGAACTTACATGGACAGATCATAAGTAAGATCTTATTGTACAAAATAATAATATCCTAGCAAACAATGTGCAAACACTATACCAGAGTAAGGAATATTACACCCAACTATCTATTTAATTTGGTCTTAATTGAATATCAAAGCCTCTTTGTTTGCATTTGCTAATGTGATTAGGTTTTTGAATCATGCACTTTCTACTACATATGTGATATTGCAAAAATATTTTATTTAAGTCTTTTCATGGAATGCTTACCTGCTATTGTTTAGGATCTCAAAGACTGATTTTAGTTTTAATACCTATTGTGTGATACAAGATTAGTGAATATCTCAACAGATGTATTTGTTTAGTTTAATTAATTTACTTTAAAATTCTTAAATTTATTAATAATTTATTCCTTTAATCAATTTATTCATCCATTGTTTGTACACAATTAGCAGTTACATTACAGGGGTTTAACAACTTTCAGACAGATACCACATATTTATTCCCATGAGCTCTAAAGCACCATTCAGCCTTTGAATCAATAATGCTGCAGAATCCTAGAATATGTCATAATAGATTGTTTACTCTAGGCATTCAGATTAGAAAACTGCTTTCATCTAACATATATCTGTATTCTTTATATAGTAGCTCTAAGACGATTAGAACATTTTCACGAGTTTCCTATTTCTATAGTCAAATAGTATTTTTGAAAGTTCAATAAAATACTAAAATATAATTTCACATAGTAACCCCAAATATATGCTAGTATGTTAATATCTGTATTTCTTTTAGGTTAAACAGCTTTTCTAAATATAAAAATTAGGATATAGTAATACTTTAAGGGTAGAAAAAAATCTGCAAAAATGTATAGATTATTCTCCAATATATAGTTACATTCTTAAAAAATCTATACACAGTAACTTCAATTTGAACTTGAAGTTTTCCCTTAGACATGGAAGTTAGCTGGGTGATTTTGGACAAGTCACTTTCTCAATCCACCTCACCCATTCCCACCCCACCGAGATCTTATGGAAAAATCAGGAAGCAGGAACATTCTGTATACTACCTTGAGTTACACAAGTAAAGATGAGATTTACACAAATAATTAATTTAAATTGATACTCCTTGCACATATCCATCTTACCTTCATTCATAATTATTACTGCTTCTTCTGTTATTTGACTTCCGGATCCAACTGATGTTTGTGCATAAAAATAGAACTTGTATCGAGTGCTATAATTCAGGTTGCTTAAAATCAAGCTGGTCTCATTGGCAGGAATATTGATCTCTTCCAAGTGACGTAATTCATGAGTACTATTAACTGTTGTTATATAGAATACAAAATACAATTAATTTTGTATTTAACTACTGAAGCCAAGCATTTACGTAACATGCTGAAACTTGTATTGACATACTGCATTAGCACTATTCAGAGAGTATAAATATATAAATATAATATAAAAATATATTTATATATATATTTAATTTAAATATTATATATATATATATATATATATATATATATAATTTAATTTAATATATTTAAATATATTTTAAATAACATATATTTATTAAAATATAAATATAATCCTGCTTATAATTTAGAACAATTTTTGTTTGTGAAGTTGTGCTGTAGCTTCCTGCATGTATAGATTTCAAAGGCCTACAAAGTTGTAATTTTGAAAGTAATGTGTACAGCTTACATGTTCACTTAATTAGCTTCCTAACATCTGGTTAAGAAGATGCTATTACATCTTCTTAAGATACACAATGCAGGTCAGCAGCACCAAATATAAATTCTCACTAAGCAACTTTGTGCTGTCTGCATCTTCCGCAACTTTTGTCCCCAAGGCGTAATGCATACTTTTCTCTGAAGCAGAGAAAGGTCATTGTATAGTTTTTACAAGGAAATACTGTGTTACCCCCTTTACATAATAATTTTGTAAAATTTAACAGTGTTCATTTCCAATTCTTAAAAACTGATTCATATAGAAAAGTATTAACCAATCAACCTAAAATAAAATTATCTGCCACAATGTCCTACCTGTCAATGACTACTTCAACCACAACAATACACTAGCAAATAATAGATACAAACTCAAGGTAAACCGCTCCAAACTCGATTGCAGAAAATATGATTTCAGTAACAGAGTGGTCAATGCCTGGAATGCACTACCTGACTCTGTGGTTTCTTCCCCAAACCCCCAAAACTTTAACCTTAATGTTACTAATCTCAAGGATCAGACCCAATAACAGACATAGACTCATTAATATTTAATCAGGTAGCCTTTTATTAACATTTATCTTCTCATTACAGCAATCATTAGCAAGAACATCTGGAGCAGCGTGGAGCAACCTTAAGTACCTGGGAGGCAGAGTCTGAGGTAAGGAGTGGTCTAGGGAGGAGGTGGATGTATGGATTGTGTAGATTAACCCTTGCAGTCCTAGGCCATGTTTACCTGCTTCTGTGGGTGAGGCATTTACACGTGATAAATCCCCCTCTAAATGCCTAACCTGCATGTGTGTGCTTTGCATTTGGGGAAGAGAGGAGAGGAGAACGCATAGTTTGGATACTAGGTATGCGTGTTGCTTGCCCTGCAGAGGTTTCGTTAATATATCCGCTGTTTGTTTTTCGGTGTCACAATATGTGGCTTTGATGAACCCTATTTTCGATAGTTGTCTCACATGTTTGTGCTTTATCTATCTATCTGGACCCGTGCCAGTCGGGCTTCAGGCAGGGGTACAGCACAGAAACGGCATTGGTTGCATTGGTGGATGATCTCTGGAGGGCTCGGGACAGGAGTTGCTCCTCTGTCCTAGTCCTATTAGATCTCTCAGCGGCTTTTGATATCATCGACCATGGTATCATCCTGCAGCAGTTGAGGGGGTTAGGAATAGGGGGCACCATTCTGCGGTGGTTCTCCTCCTTCCTTTCCGACCGCTCACAGTTTGTGTTGGCAGGGGGGCAGAGGTCGACCTCGAGGCATCTCACATGGGGAGTGCCACAAGGGTCGGTCCTCTCGCCCCTTCTGTTCAACATTTATGTGAAGCCGCTGGGTGAGATCATCCGTGGTTTTGGGGTGAAGTGTCATCTGTACGCTGATGATACTCAGCTGTACATCTCCACCCCAGACCACCCCAACGATGCCCTTGATGTGATGTCTCGCTGCCTGGAGGCTGTGCGGGTCTGGATGGGGAGGAACAGGCTCAGACTCAACCCGTCCAAGACCGAGTGGCTGTGGCTACCGGCATCCCGATATAGTCAGCAGGTGCCATCGCTGACTATTGGGGATGAATCTTTGCCCCCCACAGAGAGGGCTCGCAATCTGGGTGTCCTCCTGGATGCACGGCTGTCTTTAGAAGAGCATATGATGGCCATGGCCAGGGGGGCCTTTTATCAGGTTCGCCTGATTCGCCAGTTGCAGTCCTTTCTGGATCGGGATGCCTTGCGCACGGTCACTCACGCCCTTGTCACTTCCCGGCTGGACTATTGTAATGCTCTCTACATGGGGCTCCCCCTGAAGAGCACTTGGAGGCTCCAACTGGTCCAGAATGCGGCCGCGCAGGTAGTTATGGGCGCAACTCGTTGTGCCCGCATGACACCCCTCCTGCGCGAGCTGCACTGGCTCCCAGTGGTCTTCCAGGTGCGATTCAAGGTGTTGGTCACCACCTTTAAAGCGCTCCATGGCACAGGACCCGGGTACCTTCGAGACCGACTTCTGCCACCAATAGCCTCCCACCGGCCAGTTCGCTCCCACAGAGAGGGTCTCCTCCGGGTGCCATCAGCCAAGTTATGTAGGCTGGCGACACCCAGGGGAGGGCCTTCTCTGTGGGAGCCCCAGCCCTGTGGAATGAACTGCCCCCAGAAATGCATAAGATCTCCGACCTCCGGGTGTTCCGCTGCGCACTGAAGACCCTGTTGTTCCGCCAGGCTGGGCTATCAACATAATAATTTTAAGTTGGGGTATTTTAAATTTGTGGGGTTTTAAATTGAGCCAAATTTATTTAATTATTTTAAATTTTTAATCGATGTTTTGTCTTGTGTTTTTAAATAGGCTGTACACCGCCCTGAGTCCTTTGGGAGAAGAGCGGTATAGAAATAAAATTATTATTATTATTATTATTATTATTATTATTATTATTATTATTATTATTATTATTTATATCTATGTGCCTGGATCTTTGGCCTATGGCATTCGCCCCGGATATTTCAATAGCTGCCTTGTTATCCTCGTGGATGATTATGGGGTAGGAAGGTTCGGCTCAGATGCTGGTGAGTAGGTCATCGAACCACGTCAGGTTATTGGCTGCCTTGGATAAGCATATGTACTCTGCCTCGGTGGTTGATGTGGCTACGAGATTTTGCTTGCCCATGTACCAATGTACAAGGCTGTTGTTGAGGAAGAACACATAACCTGAAGTGCTCTTCCTGCTCTTTACATCTCCTGCCCAATCGGCATCTGCATGGCAGGTGAGGATTGGTCCATCGAGTGCATCCGGCTCTAGGCATAGACACGTGTCTGCGCTGCACTTCAGGTATCTGAGTACCCTCTTGACTGCTTCCCAGTGGTATACAGTGGGTTTGCCCACGTGTCTGGATAGTAAGTTGACAGATAGGGTGATGTCGGGCCTGGTCCAATTGGCAATGTACAAAAGTGACCCTATGGTTGACCTGTAGAGTGTATTGTCCTTGAATTCAGGTGCTTCGCCGTACATGTTCTTTACAAAGTCTGGTTGCATGAGGGTTTCACTTTGTTTGGCATCTGCCATGTTACACTTGTGTAGGAGTTCAATGATTTTTTTCCTTTTGAGACAAGCGAAACCCCTTGGGTGTTTCGTTGATTTGTACACCCAGATATTTGTTTATCTTCCCTAGAGACTTTAGCGAGAAATGTTCACCTAGCTTGCTAGCGAAGGAGTTACATTTTTCTTTGTATTTGCCAATGTATAGTATATCATCCATGTAGATGAGCACGTATTCTAGGGAACCGCCAACTTTTCTGACGAAGAAGCAGTTGTCTGCTGGAGTTGCAGTGAAACCCATTGTTTCGAGCACCTTAACCAGGCACTCATACCACCGTTTCCCAGACTGCTTCAACCCGTACAAGCTCTTGTTGAGTAGCCATGTGTCACTCTTGCGTGTGTCCCTGCTGTGTGGTGCCTTAACGTAGATCTCTTTGTCCAGTTTGGCATGCAGGTATGCAGTCTGCACATCGAACTGATGTACTTCCAGACCTAGGATGGACACAATTACTAATGCACTTTTAACGCTCTCTGCCCTCACGGTAGGTGAGTAGGTCTCGGTATAGTCCTCCGGGTATTTTTGGGCAAATCCTTGAGCCACCAACCGGGCCTTGTACAGTGTCTTGCCACCTTCTAGCGTTTTGATCTTAAAGATCCATCTGGTTCCTATTGGGGACTTATCTTCGGGACTTTGGCAGGTGTGAACACATGTAACTCTTTGAGACTGCTCATTTCTTTTTCCATGGCTGACTCCCATTTTAATTTTTCTTCCTGGGTGAGTTTGAGCACCTCCTCGTACGAGTTTGGGGTGATTGGGTTGGCGTGTATGTGGAATACATAGTCCTCAAGCCTTTTGGGCAACTGGTTCCTGCTTGCCCTAACCGGTCTGTTTGGGCTCGATTCGGTGTCGTGTAAGTATCTTGCTTCTCTCTGTGTGAGTGTGTCTATCTTTATCTTGGAGTGTTCTCCCTTCTATTCGCTAATCTTTACTTTCTGGTGAATGGGTTTGGGTCTCCTTTCTCTCTCGCTATCTATTGTGGTTTCTTTGGCCTGTTCCTGCGTATTCTGATTTATCTCCTGTCTGAGGAGTATTTTGTTGAGGTGTATTTTGGACCAGTTCGCTTGTTCATGGAACACAGCTGTCCTAGACACAATGAACCTGTTGTTGCTCTCTACAAACCTGAATCCCTTGGTGCCTGGTTCGTAACCCATAAATCTAAGCCTTCTGGATACCTTGTCCTCCTTGTGGCATAGTTGTTTTGGTGTACATCAGCCGTTACTCCAAACACATGTAGGTGTCCTATTTGTGGCTTCCTATTGTACATCAACTCGTACGGGGTTTTGTCAATCACGCTAGACCATAGTCTGTTTAGTGTGTAGTTGGAGTACACTAAGGCCTCTGACCAAAAATGTTGGCCAATTCCCGCATCTTCTAATGCGCACCTAAACATGGTTTATAGGGTGGAAATCCTTCATTCTACCACTCCATTCTGGAAGGCTGAAAACGGTGAGGATGTGTAGTGCAGTATCCCCTTAGACTTGAGCCAGTGTGTGAAATCCCTCGAGAGGAACTCTGACTCCGTCGGTCATTATTTGTTTTATCTGAGTGTTATGTTGGACTTCTACCCTCTTGTAGAACTCTTTAAATTTCTGATACACTTTGCTTTTGTGGTTTAGTGTGTACACGAAACTGTAGCGACTGTAGTTGTCCACGATGGTGAGGAAGTACCTTTTCTTGTATTTTATGGATGGCCTTAGGGGCCCCACTAAGTCCATGTGTACTAGGTTAAAAATGTGACTGGTGGTGCGTGTTGTCTTCTTGGGCCTAGGTTTGGTTTTTAACTTTGAGCATTTATAGACCGAACACTCGAGATAATTTTCACAGTCCTTTACTTTGATACCTTCAGTACATTTGGTCATTTTTTGAATAATAGGGAAGCTAACGTGCTCCAACTTTCGGTGTAACAGGTGGGCACAACCATCATGGATGGGCTTGCCTATATTAGGTTTCCTCTGACTGTGTGGGTTGTGTTCATGTGTGTTGGCAACCCTATTTCCCTGGCCCCCTTCATCTAGCTGTCGGTTTTGCCTTCTTCTGGTTCAGTGTTTGTCTCATCTATCTCTATCCCCATGTTGGCGTTTATACTATGTACGTTGTTGCTCTCGGTATGTAGGTATGGTAGCCCTCCTCTAACTATTACCTCTCCTATGTCCTTCCTGTTCCTATTCATGAGGACCCTTCCTCCCTTGAAGGTTACCTCTATCCCTGATTCTTTGCTGAGCTTCAGTGCAGCTAGAATGTTGTGAGGTATCTCTGGGACCAGCAATACCCCCTCTATTTTTCCTATCCCTGGTAGGTAAGCGTTTCCCTTCCCTGTTACCCAGACATCACTCTGGTTGGCTACCTTGACTAGGAAATCCTCTTCTGTGAATGAAGAGAGTAGTTGCCTGTTATATGTGGTGTGATTGGTGGCTCCTGAATCTATAAGCCACATGGAGTCCTCCCTGTCTTGATGTGTCATTAGGGTGTGTTTCCCTATCCCATATAGTGACCCTGTTCGGCTGTCTCTGGAACTGTCCCTGTTTCCCCTTCTATCCCTTGGATTGGGAGAGTCCCTACGCCTATATCTATTGTCTGTTGATTGTCTCTCCGGATGTCTGGCCCTGTGCTCATGCCTGTCCCTTTCCCTGAAGTTTCTGGGGCAGTCCCTTTTGTAGTGGCTTCTGGACCCACAATTGTAGCATTCTGCTGTGTCCTGTTGCCTGTCCTGAAAGTCTACTTTCTTTATGGGCCTGTGCTCTCTGCGTGACATGGGGTGACTCTTCCTCAGGTTATTTTCCGCTATCAACCTATTGGTTAGGCTGTCAATGGATAGGTGCCCCAGGTTCAGTGAATCTAAGTGTGTGATAAAGTTATGCCAGGTGGGGTCTAAGGAATTAACTATCACACTCTTCATGGTCTGATCTGACACAATTTCCCCTCTTAGGTGTAACTCAGCCCTGGTAGCATTTAACCCTAGCAGGTGTTTGCTCATAGAAGCCCCTGGCCTAATTCTAGCAGAATAGAATTCTTTAGAAATCCTGGTTGTGGTTGCCACACTCTCACTATAGAAAAGCCCAAACATTTTTTGCATTAATTCTGATACCGTTAAGTAGTATTTGATACTGGGGTATACGGTGGGGGAAATACTGGAGATTAGTAGGCAAAAAGCCTTGTGGTGTAGGCAGCCCAGTTCAAAAGTCCATGGCCTTTCTGGGGGGTTAGTAATAAAGAACAATATATTTTCCCTCAAAAAAAACAACCTGGAGCTGTTGGCTCCACCCCAGGAGGTTAGACCCATCCATTTTTAACTTTGGGAAATCATTTGGCAAATTCCCTGTATTATTTGTTAAGTTACTTACAGCAGGTGGCTCTCCATGGTTCTGAATGTGCATATAGCCACAATACGGCATGGGGATACTTGCTGGGAGTTTAAAAGGTCCTCTCTGCACTTTTTTTTCTCTTTCTTCTTCTAGGTGGAATTGTGCATGCTCGAAGTCCATTTCAGCTCTGCAGTCGTCGGAGGAGGTTCTCGTTGCTGCAGCTCCTGCGTAGAGGTCTCTCTCAGTCGGGTAGGCCTCGGTTTCAACCTTGTATGTCCAGCGGTGAGTCGAAGGTGATCGGGTCGTTGCGATGTCGTCCGGACGAAGATCCAGTCTGCTCGGGTGGTCCTCCATCTGCGGTGAGTATCTGTTCCGGCCTCTGTGCTCCGGCGATCATGGCCTCTGCGATGGATGGTGTCACGTCCTTGGGGGTGCAGCAACGTCGGTGGGCTGGCATCGGCGTCCGCATCCCTTGCGTGGGTGGCTCAGCGCTTCCCCCCCTTCATCCCTTGTCCCCTTTTGCACTTTCGGTTTGTTCTTAGGGATTTTTAGATCTGAGCTGAAGGCGGCGGTGAGGGTCCTTATGGCCTGTTCGATCTGCTGCTCGGTTGGGGACGTTTCGTGGCCCGCGTCAGATCCCTCATCCTCATAGGGCTTGTCTTCCTCGCTGGTTTGGGGGGTGCATGCTTTTCACGCTGGCCATTTTGAATCTCGGCCTTCGATTGGTCGGTGGTCAGCCATCTTGGCGGGCTGCTCAGACAAAGATGGCTGCCATTCAAAATTTGGCGCGAGATCGGGTTCTTCGTTGTTGGTTAGGGTTTCAGCTGGGGGTGAGTTTCTTACCGAGCCGTGGTCATCAGGTCAGAACCTGATCGTGGTCTCCTCTTGCTGCTCCATGGTCCTGGATCAGGCTCTGGAGGTTCGCGATGAGGTCCTCATTGGCCGTAGGCAATCTCAGCAGTCTCAGTATGTCAAGTCGGAGTTTGTTGTTTCCTTGTGCGTCAGTTTCTTGGCTGATCTGGTCTCCGGTCCCCTTTCTGTTGTCCATCGTTGTGGATTCGGGGCCGGCCTTGGCATCAGATCTCTCTGGTGTTCCCACTGGGAGGTTGCCATGAGGGGACAACTATGCCGCCATCCTTTTGGTTTGTGCTCAGGTGTTTGGCTTCTTCTTTTCTTCGGATGTGATTGTCCTTCTGGCATATCTTCTCATTATTGGGTCATTAAACCATCCTCTGCTACCATTTTGTTACTAATCTCAAGGATCGGACCCAATAACAGACATAGACTCATTAATATTTAATCAGGTAGCCTTTTATTAACATTGATCTTCTCATTACAGCAATCATCAGCAAAAACATTTGGAGCAGCATGGAGCAACCTTAAGTACCTGGGAGGCGGAGTCTGAGGTAAGGAGTGGTCTAGGGAGGAGGTGGATGTATGGATTGTGTAGATTAACCCTTGCAGTCCTAAGCCATGTTTACCTGCTTGTGTGGGTGAGGCATTTACACGTGACACTTAAACTGTCTACTGTTGACCTCACCCCATTCCTAAGAGGTCTGTAAGGGGCATAGTGTCCTACCGTCCCTGTCCTAATATTCCTTTTTACTCTTACTCTTTTCATGTATTCAAATTATGTTTATACTTTTACCTGTTATCTTATATATGCTTAACAAATAAATAAATAAAATAAATAAAATATTAATTATTCAATAAAGATACGCTTGGTGGATTCATTTTTTGTTAAAGTTTTACTTACTTGGTTGAAACTTTAATGTGTATCCCAGCAGAACTCCATTTGGATGAGAAGGTGGTCCCCATTCCAAAGTAAGAGAGTCCAGATTTTGATTGGTAATCTTTAAAAAAAGAGGGTGCACTGGGAACTTTAAAACACACACACACAAACACCACACACACACATCACAACATAAAGTTAATTTTAATAAAACTCAAATATTATATAAAATATTTTAAATGTTCCTTTTAAATTATCATCACATTTTATTTAATACAATACCAAGGTTACATGTGGATTTTCTAAAATTAGGATGCAGTTTCTGGAACTCTTTGGAAAGTTACTCATTACTGCTAATATGTGCCTGAATTCTGCAGATATGTTGTTATGCTGTCAAAATCAACTAATAATGCTTTATTTGTTATATGACTAACTTTACTGTTAATTTCTCCCTTCATATTTCCATTCCTTAGTACATCAGATATTACATGTGACAGACATGAATATACTCTTTGTCTAATATGCCTTAGCACTACTCATATGCTGCCCCAGTACAACTTCAATAATGTAGCTGTTATCTGTAAAAACTTACATACCACTTTCCCATAGATTAATTTTATCTATATTTGCTTATGTTTCATTGTCTTCCAAATAAGTATGTTAAAAATCAGAAACATTTATTATTTTAAATAATCATTTAATAATAATGAAAATGGCCTGGTAATACTTAACTCACAACGTGAAACATAAATATCTGAGTTATTAAATTACGTACCTCCTTCTGGAGTCTTAAATGTTTCATCTTGGCTTGCTGGTCCTTCTCCTTTCCCATTAAACACTCTTACATTCAGTTTATAAGAACTAAAAGGCTCTAGTCCCGGCACCATTCCATGCGTTCTATTTCCACTGAAAGTCAACATCCTTTTTTCCACATGTTGCTTAATTTTTCCAGATAAATATTTGACTTTCCAATAGTAAATCTAAATATATGTGCATGGATATTTTAAACGTTAATTTATGATGTTCTCAGACTGCATTATATTATACAGCCCAAATGAATTTTGAGACAAGCAATTTAGTGTGCTAAATAATAAACAATAATATTTTTTTAAAAAGCATTTAAAATAACTTAGTTAAAGGAAATCCATTGATTTCTTCTCTAGCGATGACTATCCAGTTGAGTGAGTTTAAATTATCAGTGCAAAGGCATATCAAATCCTTAACATATGTAATATATTAGCACATTAGACTATCAGTATTTGAAGCAGATAAACTGCCTTCAAATCTGTACTAAGATATGGAAGTTATTATCTGACTCTGATTTAGATAGTTCTTAGCATAGTCTATTTCATACAGTTGTGAACAATTAGAGATAGATTATTATAGGATTCTTTAGAAAATGGCTAGTATAATTTAAATACATAAACATGATATAAGTTTTACTGATTTTGTATATACACATTCAACCAGTGGTGGGATTCAAGTAATTTAACAACCGGTTCTCTGCCCTAATGATTTCTTCCAACAACCAGTTTGCCAAACTGTTCAGAAAGTTAACAACCGGTTCTCCCGAAGTGGTACAAACTGGCTGAATGCCACCACTGCATTCAACCCAAGACTAAATACTGGTATGACAGAATAAAAAAAGTATGTTACACATGTTACAAGGAACACTTAAGTGTAAATAATAACAGTAGTTAGACTAAAAACTGTTTCTGACAAACATCAAATAGCCATTCTTATAGACCAAGAAACACAAAATAGTAGTTACTCTGGTCTAGGATCTCAAGAAGTAAAATAAACAAATAAGGAAAACTCACACTCAAATACATTTGTGGATATTTTTATACTAAATGCTGTTTAAGAAATATCTATGGTTAACTTACTTTGTATCCCTGAAGATGACCCCGGACAAACTTCAATGGAACTGGATCCCACTGCACTTTCACTATCGTACTGTTTACAACTTGTACTTGTAAATTGCCTGGAGCAATCATTGGCACTGACAAGGACAAATGCAACAAATCCAAGTTTAGAACCACTTGCATGTGTTTATAAGGCACCATGTTTTCCCGAAAATAAGACCCAGTCTTATTTTCTTTTGGGCCCCGAAATAAGCACTCGGGCTTATTTGCGGGGAGGTCTCACTTTTTTGACATGCAGGAGGCGGCGAATGTGGGGGCTGATGGGAGTAGAAGTGCCGCTACCCCTGGCCCCACCCTCTGTTCCATCTACTTGCCTGCAGCCGCAATGAACCAAACTCTCAGCATGCCCCGGCCTCTGCCCTACCCTGCCTGCTGGCCCTGCTGCTGCTGCTGGTCTTGTCGTGCAGAATGCTGTGCAGCTCATTGCGCCAGTGGAGTCACTCGCAGCAGGATGCTGTCAGGCTTGGGATGCCAGTGGAGCCACTCCTGCCCTGAGTGGCTCCACTGGTGCAATAAGCCTCACGGCATCCTGACGAGAGCGACTCCACCGGCACAATGAGACTTGCGGCGCCTGGCCATAAGCAGCCCCAGTGGCTGCAGAAGAAGTTGGGCAGCAGTGCAACAGATGTTGGGGCATTGGAGGTTTGGCTGTGGTGATCCTAAGGTAAGTGGGTGCGAGGCATGTGGGGCAGCTCCACCCCCCAACCTAGATTGATTTTTACACTTGTGCCTCGCCCTACCTCGTACAACCAGATGGTGGGTGGGGCTTAACTAGGCCTTATTTTTGTGGTAGGGCTTATTATATGCAGGCATGAAAATCGGGCTAGGGCTTGTTTTGGGGGTAGGTCGTATTTTCGAGGAAACACCATACTTTGAATTTCATAAATGTAGAAAATTAATTTTGAATTCTATATTTGTACCACGATACTCAGAAAAGTCAGCTAAAGCAAAAATTATACTAAAAAGTAAGAAACTTACAGTCTTCTCCAGAATGTCCAATTATTGTTAAAGGATCAGGTGCAGGTCCTAAGTCATTTAATGCTTGTACTTTTATCTCATATGGAACAAAAGTTGGTGTATCAGCTACAATATATTTAGATACATTTGCAACTGTAACAGATGTCCATTCATCTTCACCATCATTCTGCTGCCAACTGACTTTGTAGTGAAGACCTGGACCATTGGACTGAAAATCCGTTAAAGGCTAAAATGAAAAATAACAAAGGTATGATTTTTAATTAGCCATATAAAAGAGGATGAAGATAATATAAGGTTAATGGTTTTGTTCTAATGATTGCTAGAAAGTGGTGATTTAACCAGAATTTTTTTCATATTCACGTGTGGCATACAGGTTAAGGATTCCTACTAATTTAATGACTCTTTTCCTTGTTCTAAAATAAAATCTCAAGTGGTGCTCACAGGTGGCAACAGTAGGCAAAATCCCCTCTGTCATCCAGTCTAAAAAATATGCTATTAAAAGAAATGGGACTGGAAAGGACTAAAAAAGAAGAGAGGGAAAATGACAAACTAAAAAATCACTTCCTTCTATAATCTTGTACTTCATGGGTCGCATAATGAAAATAGAAGTACCCTAACTGAACAATCTATTTCTGATACAGTTGCATTGTGGAATGACAAGAAATCATATTGCTTATGCATCTATTGCTTATATACCGTATTTTTCGGACTATAAGACACACCAGTGTATAAGATGCACCAAGATTTCGAAGACGTAAGCAAGAAAAAAAAAAGGGTTTGCCCTCCCCGACCCCCAGGAGCACTCTGCAGGCCTCCCAAACCTTCTGTACACCGTGTTTTTGCAAAAAGTGGGCCCGTTTTTTGCAAAAATGGGGGCATTTTTGCCCTCCCCAGACCCCAGGAGCACTCTGCAGGCCTCCCAAACCCTCTGTGCACCCCATTTTTGTGAAAAACGGTCCTGTTTTTTGCAAAAATGGGGGTGTTTTGGCCCTCCCCAGCCCACAGGAGCACTCTGCAGGAATTCCAAAGCCTCTGTGTGCCCTGTTTCTGCGAAAAATGGGCCCATTTTTCGCAGAAAAACGGGACAAGCAGGGCAGGGCTTTGGGAGACCAAATATGGTTGTATTTGGTGTATAAGACACCAACATTTCCACTCTCGTTTAGGGACGGGAAAAGTGCATCTTCTACTCTGAAAAGTACGGTACATCATATAAGCTGTAACTTACTCATGGGTGCCAACAATAAAGTTGGTCCTTTGTTTTAGCATTATCACTTGAAATTAGTTATGGAACCACACTAATTTCAAGTCCCATATTTGGTCCTAACTGTATACTACTTTGCTTTATAGCAAATTATATAGCAGTGTCATCAGATAATTCAAGTAGCACAGGTTGAATGATATTAATGGCATTTCAATGGGTTTTTTTTTTAATACAACAGCAAGTCAATCTTTAAAAATGTTTTGCTGTTTTTCTGAGCTTTTTGCTACACATTTGGGAAAAGTGAATACTAGTCATACTGTCTTCAGTATTTTATTTTTTCAAAAAGCTTACCTTCCAAGTGATCACCAAATTATTAGGTTCCGTTCCAATCCCGTGAACATTAATAGGATTGTCATCTGGTTCTAAAAATTTAATTTTTTATATTTAAGTAAAATATAGACCACTATAGTTGAATGTTATTTATATACTAAGTAGATAGAGATGTTTATTTACTTGCAGGTTTTGTAAAGTACTTTTCAGAAGATTCACTTGGTTGGCTCCTTCCAATTTCATTGAGAGCTATTACACGAAATGAATAATTCACATATGGTGATAACTTTAACTTTACAGTTGTAAACACACTAGGGACTTCCATTTGGTAATTCCATATTCCTGGTTCACGCAAAGCATCTTCATATTCAATAATATACCCTGTAAATAAAGTTAAATTTTGCTTTATAAAGCCTTATTTTCTTCTCATATGATTAGCCAAATACATATTTTTTGAGAAGAGTGTTATTATATCAAGAGCGTTGTAAATGCTTGAAAATTGAAGATTCTGAAGGTCAAATTTTACTTGAAAGCAATCAGACTTTGCAGGATTGGAACTTGACATGTATTATAATAAAAGCATGGCACAATATTTCTGAACAACGTTAAGTGGAAAACTGAATCAAAGAAGTAACATCTCATGTATTTTGATACAGAAAAATAGAGGATACTGCTACTGAATAGGTAGTTTATATTAATAAGTAATAAAAAACAGGTCATTTACATTACTATTTTGCACCACAGTTCAGTGTTTATGCAGAGGCACTTTACAGAAGCCTATTTTAACACAGTCATTTAAATGAAAACAATCAAATAAATGCTGTTTATTGCAAAATAGAATGCTAAATGATTTCCCAAATAAATAGAACAATCATACTTGTAATGGGGCTATTGTTTTCATTGCCCGGTATCCAAGTGAGTTGAGCACTTCTTTCTAAATGATCTGTTAATTCCAAATCATAAGGTGGATCAGGATGATCTGAAAAGGGAATTAAACAACTGTTTTATATTCTAGGAAAAATTCTGAACAAGCTTGTTTACAATATGATTGTGTAACCACTGGCATGCAATTGCAATGAAAATGAACAACTGGCTTTGCTGGGAAACAACGCAGAACAAAGGCAGATTATTACATAAATTCTTGTAACAACATTTGTTTTGTATTACAAAGTAACAATATGACAACATTTTTGTCATGGTTCACCAGCAGTTTCAGTTTATGAGTTGTGATAATGATCATTATAGCACTATTTTGTGTAAAACAAACATTTCTTTACACTAAAAGAAAATAAAAATACATTCAATAACTACAAAAAAACTGTTTCAGAATTATATCTTTATTGGAGCCTCTATATTGGCATGTACTTATCTAGGCTCACACAGACTTGATGTTTTTAACTTAATGAGAAACAGGCTTTTTTTTTAACTCTTTCACAGTCAGAAATTGCTTTTTGCTTAAAGTGTGAAGGAGCCAGGAAATCCAATACAATATAAACATGGTGGTTTTTTAGAGAAGAAACAGGTCTAAGGCTGTGTCAGCACTGCCAATGAGTCTTTAAGACCCAACAGAAAAGGGGAAATATTATTTACATTCTTTGCCCTATCTAATTCTGATAAATAGTGACAACCTATCGTACAATTCAGGTCCAGGAAAGACAATAAGTTTTTAAAGTCATGAATTCCTTGTTAGATTTTTAAATATATATAATGTATGTATATATGAATGTTGTAAACGAAATTGTAAAGAAAATAAAGGATAGATGTTCCAGTTACTGTAAATGTTATTTAAGTATAAAAATGGTTGAATAAGAATGTCTTAGAAATTTAGAAAGAAAATACTGCCACTCATAATTACCTTCCAAACATGGGAAACTAAAGATTAATTAATTAAATAATACTTTAAAAGACAGATGCCCTAAAATTAAATTCAAGCCCTGGTGTCTTTATAAAAATGTATACTCTGATAGTTATGGAGAATATATCAGCAACCGATAAGGTGAAAAATTGTTTTCCTATCATATCCCACAGTCAAACTGACATATGGCACCTATAACAAAAATTACCCCAAACTAATTCTAAACTGGTAAAATCTTGCTCAAGAATTATGTGTCCATGACTAAAATGCTTAATGAATTTATAATAAAACTTTTGTTTCTTAATTAGGAGGAAATAGTTGCAAGAAGAATATATATTAAGTGTACAAATCTTAAAGAATAAAGAGGGCAATGAGGAATCCAGGTTTGGCATAGCTTAGTACATTTAATATAGCACCATATGTAGACTTAATTTTGGGCAGAAAAAATATCCATTTTTAAAATCTTACATTCAGTAGCAATAAACTACTAACAGCCCATAAAAAGGTTTATATATGCTGAAGATTATGTCACAGTGAAATTGGAAGTCATTTTTAAAAATAATATTAAACTATGCTTAACAAATGATAAAAAGCAGCTGAATGTTACACAGGTTTTAATAACTCGTTCAGGCAATTATGTGAGAAATTTATACTGAAGACTAGTTTGATTTAATTATAATAATGAAACAGTTTAGCATTTCAGTCATAAATAAAAATAGTAATATGATTCTCATCAGATTTAACATAAATATATAACCAAACAAAAATAAAAAGAGAAAGTCTGAAAAAAGCAGAAAGTTTAGGAAGGTTTGGTATATAATCCAAGCAAGACTTATTATTAGTTTACCGTAAACAATAGGTGGAACTGTTGGAGGAGCTGAAAAAAAGGATATTAATATAAACTATAAAACTTGTGTTAGTAGTCAGAATAAAACAACATTATTTATTATTAATATGACTTTCTATGTTATAAAATGTTATTATTTTATTTGCAAAAATGTGCATAATACGCACTGAATGAAAACAACAACAAAAGCCTCTTTTATCTGAGTCCTGAATAGCCCTGCAGACAATTGTCAGACTATAGGCTCATCATATTGAAAGGGTTCATTTAAGTCAGTGATGGCGAAGGAAGCATGCACATGTGGCACCAAGTGCTGAAAAGGGAGCACTTCGCGCGCACACTTGCACTTGTCAGGGCAGCGACCAGGAAGAGAAGCTGCCCAGGGGGCATGCACACGCCGGATAAGGTACTTCCGGTTTCCAGTGTGCGCATGCGAGCCGGCCAGTAAGCCTTCCAGTTATTGCCGCGCATGTGCATGCGACGATCAGCTGGCCAGCACACATGCTCACGCCGGAAAATGGAAGACCAGCTCTTCTGGTTTCCGGCACTGCAGCACACCCAAAGGCCAGCTGATCATTGCATGTGCATGTGTGCCAGAAACCCGGAAGAGGAATGGGCAACACCGTGCATGCCAGGCGACATGGCTCTGCGTGCCACTTTGGGTACCCGTGCCATAGGTTCACCATCACAGATTTAGGCTATGTAAGCCAATTGCCTGCACACTGCAGGAACTCTAAGCATTCTCGACAGAAGTCTGTCTAGCATTCATCCAAACACTGGCAAGGAAGTAGAGTTCAATATCTTTGGGTACTGGTCCCAGCATTGAAATGTTTTCACTGTTAAAAGGCTTTATTCCCCATTAACATTACTGGAATTAGCTTTTCTACTATGTAAATCTACAATTTGATAAGCATTGCCTTAACTTCAACCAGTTATTAATGAAAATATTGGCAAATTTGGTAAATTCTGAATATTTTAATCTCCTTCAGGATAATCCAACAATTGACAAATACTGAACCATAACAAATATTTCTTTAGAGCATACTAATAGTCCGGCTTCAGACCTGGGTACAGCACGGAAACGGCATTGGTCGCGTTGGTGGATGATCTCTGGAGGGCTCGGGATAGGGGTTACTCCTCTATCCTGGTACTGTTAGATCTCTCAGCGGCTTTTGATACCATCGATCATGGTATCATGTTGCGCCGGCTGGAGGGACTGGGAGTGGGGGGCACCGTTTTGCGGTGGTTCTCCTCCTATCTCTCCGACCGGTCGGAATCTGTGTTGACAGGGGGGCAGCGGTCGACCCCAAGGCGCCTTGTTTGTGGGGTGCCACAAGGGTCGGTCCTCTCACCCCTCCTGTTCAACATTTATGTGAAGCCGCTGGGTGAGATCATCCGTGGTTTTGGGGTGGAGTTCCATCAGTACGCTGATGATACTCAGCTGTACATCTCCACCCCAGACCATCCCAACGATGCCTTGGAAGTGATGTCCCAGTGCCTGGAGGCCGTGCGGGTCTGGATGGGGAGAAACAGGCTTCGACTCAACCCTTCCAAGACCGAGTGGCTGTGGCTGCCGACATCCCAGTATAGCCAGCTGGCACCATCGCTGGTTATTGGGGGCGAATCATTGGCCCCCACGGAAAGGGCCCGCAACTTGGGTGTCCTCCTGGATGCACGGCTATCTTTAGAAGAGCATATGACGGCCGTGGCCAGGGGGGCTTTTTATCAGGTTCGCCTGATATGCCAGTTGCGCCCCTTTCTGGATTGGGACTCCCTACGCACGGTCACTCAAGCACTCGTCACTTCTCGTCTGGACTATTGTAACGCTCTCTACATGGGGCTCCCCTTGGGGTACACCCGGAGGCTCCAACTGGTGCAGAATGTGGCCGCGCGGGGGATTATGGGAGTGACGGCGCGCTCCCATGTGACTCCTCTCCTGCGCAAGCTGCATTGGCTTCCAGTGGACTTCCGGGTGTGCTTCAAGGTGTTGGTGATCACCTTTAAAGTGCTCCATGGCTTAGGGCCGGGGTATTTACGGGACCGCCTTCTGCCACCAATTGCCTCCCACCGGCCAGTTCGCTCCCACAAAGAGGGCCTCTTCAGGGTGCCGTTGGCCAGACAATGTCAGCTGGCGACCCCCAGGGGGAGAGCCTTCTCTGTGGTGGCACCTACCCTCTGGTACAATCTACCCCCCGAGATACAAGTGATATCCAACCTCCAGACTTTTCGTCGGGCCCTAAAAACTATTTTTTTTCAGTTAGCCGGGCTGTCCTGATTTTATGGTTGGTTTTAAAATTTGATATGGATTTTAATTGAAAAGTTTTAAATTACGGGCCAAATTTATTTAATTATTTTAAATCTATTTTTAACTTTTGTGTATAAATGTTTTTATCTTGGCTGTTCACCGCCCTGAGTCCGAAAGGAGAAGGGCGGTATAGAAATCTGAAAAATAAATAAATAAATAATATTTTGTTTCTCTCATTTTAATAACAGTATGTGCACTCCAAGCTCTTTTGAAATCTGTCATATAAGGCAATTAGGTATTTGTGTATTACTTCCCTGCTACTGAAAAACTGTACTTTTCCATTAAACCTCCAGATGCTATATAGAAGATCTTTCTACAAAAATACTTTCTAATTGGATATGGAGTTTTAAAACAAGATTAATTTAATTATGTTTACCTTACCAAATATAAATTCCAAGGAATTAAGATATTTTAAAATATTTTCCTATCAGACATAGGAAAAACAGGAAGCTAATTTATGAAATCACATTATAAACAAAGATACATGATAATTATAATGCATACAGAACCCTAAATATTAAGATTCTGGCATGGAAAGAAAATCTGTACAGAGAAAACTCAGAACTATATTTTCTCAGATCAGGTCCAAATGATGGATATTCTAAAAGCTACCATAGTTTCAGGCAAGTATATAAGAAATCATCCTGTCTTGTCTGGTTGTTTTTTTATAACACTTTGGGTTCAAACCTAAGATAGCATTATAGTAGCAACTGAAAAATTATTTTGGTTGAATTTATAGGATCAAAATATATTCTTACTTTTAGTATATTCCAAAACTGTAATATCAGAATAGCTTAAAACCAGTTAATATTTTCACAAAAAGATAACAGATTTGCTTTTGCTTTAATTCTACATTATGAGATATCTTACCCACAACTGTGAGTACAGCATTTGCAGAAACACTATCCAATGTAGTATTAGCTAGGCAAGTATATTCTCCACCATCCTTATCAGTGACATTCATAATGGTCAAGCTGTATTTACCTACAATAAACCTGTAATTACAATACATTTAATTATTCCATTGCAAACAGTTCTAAATACATAATTTATTAGTTGTAGTAAATAACAATAGCATCTTAATACAGATGTACTTGTTACTTGACAGCAGTTCAAGAAGGGATCCAAAGGAGAAACCAAATTGGACGGCTAGAGTCCATTACAAAAAATGAAAGAAGATACAGTGGAATTATGGGATCAGTTAGAACAATGGCAGAACAACAATATGTGAATAATTTTATTTATTACAATGATTTGTTGGCCATTTAATAACTTTCTGATGAATTTAGAATGAGAAGTTTAAATATTGCAAAATAAATTCACCACAAGTGTATGTTGAAATACGCATTCCACAGACATTGCTCAAAGCACTAATGACATGCATTATGGACAAATAACAGAGGCATCTGCTGGGGTTGTGCGTCAAAACAAAGAAATTAAGAGAGTAATGTAATACAAGCTCCACTCCTTTTGTATGTGTGTCATCATATCATACACGTGTATGAAATAAGTGAAATTTGCATCCTAGTGGAATGATGCTGCTTTTATCATTTTGATGAAAGCATCAGAACCTGTTATTATTTTAGTAACATTAGTTTAGTGTAATGTGTTAATCATTACATCATTCTGGTTTTCTTTTCTCTTTGCAGCTGAAGTATGATCCTAGGAAAAGATACTTGGTGACTATATCAAAAGATGCAGTATGACGTTACACAGAGAGGTTACCTATATTGAATCTTATTATAGCATACATGCCTGGTGGAGAGAAATCATAATTGGTGCATTGCAGAAATCATTATCTTAAAAAAATAGTAATATTTTATCTGCAGCAGGATATACTATTAAATTATATCTGGAAATCTGTATTAAATCCCCTTGTTGGTGTTTTATTAACTTGCAAAAAAGTGGGGCTCGGGTTAGGAATACATACCGTCCATCATCTGGCAATTCATCATTTTCCTTCAACCATATAACTGTAGGTATTAATGTTGCATCATATTTAATTACACATTCAAAGAAAACCTGCTCCATCCTTTGTACTACTTTGTATTCAGGCTGCTTAATAATCAATGTGGGTTCTGAAACATAAAATAATTACTATGATACTTACAAGTTACAAATTGGCAAACAGTTAGGAGGCTTTTATTTCAGAGCCAGGGTTTCTTACCCTTGATTTCTAACTGAACATTATTTTGTGCTTTTCCTAGTTTATTTCTTGCTATGCAGGTGTATGTGCCACTGCTGTCCTTCTGGACTTTCAGAATTTCCAAGGTCCCATTTTTATGGAAAACATACTCCTTGCCCTGGAGAACGCTACTTTTCATTCCTTGAAACCTATGTATTGGAAAGAGATTATCCAAATTATGCATTAATTTAAACTTTATTTGGAGGCAAGATGTCTACTGCATCCCTAAACCCCAATAGAGATGTAATAATATTTGATAAACTGTAGAAAGATGATTATATACATACACAACAAAAAAAAGACCCAACTCACACAAAATGTTAAATAAATGATTGGATTGCCTATTTTTTTTTTAATATAATGTCCCCAATAAATTTTGGGACTACAGCATATCACACAAGGCTAACATTTTCATTCTCTCCACTCCATGCTCTGAAATTGCTGTGTAGGCGATTCTATTGATGAGAGCACTTGGTAGGGGAATTGCTTACCCCATGTAATCCGAAACCTAATTGACTCCTTTCTTGCTGGCAGTTATTTAAAAGAAAATGATTAGAAAGTCATGGATGTAATTTGTCATCAGATGTTTGCTAAGTAGTGTAAGACTAATTATGTATAATATTGAAAATTAAATAAATTAATCAAGATTCCCTTCACATGAAATGGAAGACAAACAGCTGAAGTACACAAAAAGGTATAGATCTCTATTTAACTTTCCAGATTCCCACAATATTCATTAGTTTAATGTGCATTAAGCATTAATAACCCCCCCCCCCATTGTGAGCGACTTACCATTCAGCTTCAGGCATAGGTGAACCAAAAAAAGCACAATCTAGCAATGCAGGCTTATTTTCAATGACTTGATAAAGTTTATTGTATGGAGTAAGGATTCTTGGTGGTTCAGCTGAAAATAAAAATATCTTTTCAAATGGTGTGAATATTTTGAATGCATTTGTGTAGGAAAGTTTATATATCTAGCTTATTTATATAAGTGTATATGTCTAGCGTTGATGATGTTACCTACTTTGGGCAATTAAATGCCCCAATATCATGTAATAATAATGTTGCCATTATCATACCCTAAGTGAATTAAGTAGAACTCTCTGCTGTTACAGATATGTGACATTGGGAAAAAAGTCTTTCGTTCCAGTAAATGCAATATTTGAGGTCTCAATAATAAATTTATTATTATTTTTTAATTTTCCAAGACAGTTCTCTGCCTTATATCTGATGTAAAAAATTGAACAAGACTAGTAACCATCTAAGAACAAAATATTTAGGGATTGTTTTTAAGTCAGACATTCTTAACCCAGGGACCACCTGTAATCCAGTGTGGTATAGCAGATAAAGTAGCAGGCTAGAAATCAAAAGAATTTAAGTTCTAGTCCGACTTTAGGCACAAATCCAGTGGATGGCTTTGGGCCATATACTCTCAATTGTAGAAAGAGGGCAAGAGCAAACCACTTCCAAAAATGTTGCCAAGACAACTGCAGGGACTTGTGTAAGCAATCACCAGGGGTCAAGACTGATTTGAAGGCACACGTATCTTAAAAAGTTGAGTAATCCAAATAATTTTCTTATGCAAATTACATAGCACCTAGCCTAATGATCCCCCTAATAAAGATGGATAGGATTGCATATGATAGCTCAGTGGTTAAATGATGCTTAGCTTGTCAAATGAAAAGCTGATAGCTCATGTTCAAGACCCAAGTGCCACACAATAGGATGAGCTCCCATTATTTGCCCCAGCTTCTGCCCACCTAGCAGTTCAAAATCGTGAGACTAGATAAATAGGTACCACTTCAGTGGCAAGGTAACAGCATTTTGTGCACCTTGGCATATACACATGCTAGCCACGTGACCACAGAAATGTCTGTGGACAACTCTGACTCCCTCAGCTAAGAAGCACCATTCCTGAGAGTCAGATAGGGGAAATCTTTACTTTTATAGGGTCTAGCCTACTAATCTCCCTAATAAAGATGAATAGGATTGTATTAAGACTTTATTGGGGATGACATTTGATGCTGAGATATCAAATCTGACATTCATTATATGCTTTTTTTATTCATTAACTATACTGCTTTATGTATTTTAATGTAATTACATTTATATTAATATAGTAACATAACTGAGATGCTGAAAAGACAAGTCCAATAAATACTAGTTACCAATGAGTCAATATTGTAGCATGTACTGTCTACTAATGAGTAGTAAAGCACCATTATTATTGGATTTTTTTATTTTTAAAAAGCACCAACTGTCTTACCTAAAATATTCACAAATGCATTTGCTAATAGATATCCATATTCATTAGAGGCATTACACTGGTATACAGCACTTGATCTTTCTTGCACATTAGTGAAAATAATTGTATCACCATCAACTTTTCTACTTGAATCTTCAGGAGCAACTGTTAAAACACAGGATAGATTAAATTATTCAACACTGAAAAAATTGTTCTTGGATTGTAAGAAAATAATTTGAAGGAGGGTCAGAAATATTGTATAATATGTATATATACAATATTTCTGACCTTCCTTCAAATTATTTTCATATATATATGTATTTCTCTTTAGCCAGGTTCTTCCTACGTAAACCAAGATTTTTATGCAGCCCTAGTTCAGTGAAATCCCTATCCACTAGTTTCTAGGCTTAGAAAAAAAAAAAAAAAAAAAACACACACACACACGTTTTCGTAGATTTTCAAGGGTAGAGGTATGCAAGTTTGGGTGTATTTGGGTCTTTTCCCGTGTAAGATTGAGGATCTTGGCGACAGAGTGCATGACAGAGTGAAGGAATAAATGTGGAATATATATATATGTGTGTGTGTGTATATGTGTGTGTGTGTGTGTGTGTGTGTGTGTATATGTATGTATGTATATGTATATGTATTTGTATATATATATGTATATGCAAAAAATTAAAATCTCGGGTGTTTTCCCGCGTCATGTTAAATAAGTTAGTTAAAATGTTTAAAATTCTGGTTAAAATCCTAGCTCAAAATCTTCCAAAAATCCTTACAGAGCACTCTGCAAGGTCCTTTAAAACTTTAGCTAAAATCCTACCAGTATCTTAAAAGTTTTTCTTTCTAGCAACGTTTCGACAGGCTCACAACCCTGTCATCTTCAGGCTCTTGTTTAGTGTAGAAGCTATGGGTGTGTTGCGAGGTCGGAGCTGTCGCTTTTCTATGTTTGCTGCTGCTGACGTATGCTGGTTAGCCTGTAACTCTGTGTCCTGATTGGAGGACAGCAGTTTTTCTTCCTGCTTCCTCATCCTGGCTGTTTGGCTACGTGTTTGGCTACCAGGATTCAGAGTATCTTGGTGATGTTTCGACGAGGTCCCACTCGTCATCTTCAGGCTGGTGTCTCTGGCTTCGTGCCTGTGCGAGAAAAGCGTGATCGGAGCTGCTGTCTCTCTATAAATACTGGTGGGGAGGTGTGGAGTGCTGGCTTTGTTGCTGTGAGCGGGTTGGTTGCCTGTGTTGTTACATCTGTGATGTTGCCTGTTTCGTAACATCCTGTATGGGTGAGGTCCTTGATGTGTGCCCATTAGTCTTTTGTGTTTTAATGGCTGGATGTTAACATCCTGAATTCTAGTGTTGTGATATCCTGAATTTTTTGATGTAATGTCCTGAGCAGATGGCTGTGATGCCACATCCCGGGTCAGCACCCCACACCTCCTCACCAGTATTTATAGAGAGACGGCAGCTCCGATCACACTTTCCTCGCACAAGCACGAAGCCGAAGACACCAGCCTGAAGATGACGAGTGGGACCTCGTCGAAACATCACCAAGATACTCTGAATCCTGGTAGCCAAACACGTAGCCAAACAGCCAGGATGAGGAAGCAGGAAGAAAAACTGCTGTCCTCCAATTAGGACACAGAGTTACAGGCTAACCAGCATACGTCAGCAGCAGCAAACATAGAAAAGCGACAGCTCCGACCTCGCAACACACCCATAGCTTCTACACTAAACAAGAGTCTGAAGATGACAGGGTTGTGAGTCTGTCGAAACGTTGCTAGAAAGAAAAACTTTTAAGATACTGGTAGGATTTTAGCTAAAGTTTTAAAGGACCTTGCAGAGTGCTCTGTAAGGATTTTTGGAAGATTTTGAGCTAGGATTTTAACCAGAATTTTAAACATTTTAACTAACTTATTTAACATGACGCGGGAAAACACCCGAGATTTTAATTTTTTGCATATACATATACATATACATATACATATACATATACATATATATATACATATACATACATACATACATACACACACACATATACACACACACACACATATATATTCCACATTTATTCCTTCACTCTGTCATGCACCAATCTTATTCTAACTCAGAATTAGTTTAATAGTTTAATATTAGTAGTCCATATAATAATTATATCTCAAGCCAATGGCTCATTTGTATCAGCAAAGATGAACTCCACTAATGTTAATATGAACATTCCTGCAAGCTAGCTTTTGATTTTATATATAGGCTCGGTATTTCTTAATATTATTTGAGATGCATTTACAACTGGAGATGGAAATTACACTGGAATTTTCTTCATGCAAAAAATACACTACTCAGTTGTCATTTCTCTTCTCTTCTTCAACAGATTAAGAAGGCAGTTGTGCCACTATAAATATTTCTATAATTCCCAGCAGGAAGATCAGTAGTGAAGAAAGCTGGGAGCTATAGCAGCAGAGGTTCATAGGCTTACTTTTGGATTATATGCAAACAGAATAGGGTATTTTTTTCTCAAAAGATTAAAACATAACAAATGCTCCTAATATAATTAGGAAGGCAATTTTATACTCTTCCTCCCCATTTATTTTTGTTACTCTCAGTTCTGCTTCCCATCTTGTTTGGAACATCTTCAGTCTGCTTGGAATTCTTTTTAGGAGTGTACAATTAAGTATAAAAATAAGTGTAAAATCAATTGTACAATTAAATGTATAATCAGCTATATACCAATTGAGCATCCTAGTGGATAAAAAGCATGAATCATCATTTATAAAAATAAATACAGTATTAAAAATCTTCTTAAAGTGCTTCTCCACTATATGAGTTCAGCAATCTAGGGCTTTCTTATCCCTTTCCTCTAATTAATTGCTTCATATGAGATGCTGGCTCTCTCTTTGTGAGGTATAATTTGAAATGCTCTTTTCCAGAGTCCCTGAATCAATGTGCATAGCAACTTAATGGGAAAGAAAAAAATAAACTTCAGAAAGGGTTGAGTGGTAGCCTGGTTTAGCAACATCAAGGAACTACTATTTCACACTGAAGCACTTGATAGAATTGGTTTTAGATTCCTTTCTTCAACTTTTTAGCTAATGATCAGACTACTTTGCAGATTCAAAAGCTCTTACTTTGTAAGACAAAATATCATTCATTTCTTCTTAAATACATAAATGGTGAATTCATAATTTTCAATTTTAGATTTAATTGTTATTCTCTCTGTGTAATCTTTAGAGAATAATGTCCATTATTCTACTTACATTAAACTATACCATGGAAGCTCTACAAATGTGGGAAATGTTTTGCTCATTCTTAACAAAACTTTGACTACTTGTTCAAAAACTTATATTAACAAAACCACTAACATCAAGCAAGAATTTAACATGACATAAAAGTGAAAACAGCCCATACTTTCAACTGGAATTCCATTTGCTAACCAGCTTATGCTGGGTTTAGGATTGCCATTCGTTCTACAAATCAAGGAGCCATCTTCTCCGGGAGATAATACAAGGTTTGAAGGTTCTCTTATCCAATAAGGGGCAGCTGAGTTTTTTAAAAAAGAAGCAAAAACATTCAACAACTAGTTTTTGCAGTGGTAGCAGTATATTATGTTACATATATTAATATAATTAATGTCAAAACTCCAAATGTATACAGAACAAAAATGCATTTATTAAAAATAGAATAAATTGTTCGGTTAATAATCAAAAGTTTGGTAGCACTTTTTCAAACTAAGAAATTTTATTAAAGGTATAAACTTTCATTACCTACAGCTCACTTCAATCATCTTCATCTTCATTGTGATTCTAAAAAGATGCATAAATCATCTTTTTATACTAAGAGCTTTTACATTCAATAGTATATAAACTGTGTGGTAAACTCTTTTCCAATCTCTAAAAATCTTCTTATGTCAGAGGAATAGTGAGTTGAGAGACTGAAGAATGAGAAAAATAGCTAAAAATACAACTATGGATAGTTCTTGCTCAACATTCATTTCTTCGAGGACTGTTTGAAGTTAGTGTTGAATGAAGGGACGTATGATCTGGCCAAATTCTGGCCATTGCAGTGCTCTTGCAGTCACATGAATAAAATTTGAGCCCACTTGGGACCATCTGCATTTACAACTGCCATTTGCCTACCAGCTGCTACCAGCTGCCCCTGCTACCTGATCTTGCCCCTCACCACAGCTGTGCCTGCCACATTGTGTGCCACTACTGAACCAGCTGGGCCCTCTTTAGTGCCACTTTTTTCACACCAGTGCAGCTGGGGTTTTTCTCTGCCATGGCCATGATCTCTGTTTGCGTGCCAGCCAGCATCTTCATTTGCAGCTAGGACGAAAGAAGACAGCATGAAAGAAGGCTGTGTCAAGTATGTCGTAATATATCTTGCAGCAATTAGCAGGCAGCAGAGGCAGCTTGGTGGCAGTAGATTGGCAAGCAGCCAAATGGGGAGAGATGTGAGGCAGCTGCGGGGAATTCAAGAGGAAGCAGTCTTTACCTTACTAGGCTCAAGACTGGAAGGGACCAAGCCAGGAATGGCTTGGATTGGGGTGAATCCTTGTCTAACAAACAGAGGCATTACCACCATATTTTTAAAAAAATGTTTTAAACTTGACTTTGTTATTTTTATAAATAATTCAAGGTAGTAGACATACCTAATAGTCCTTCCTGCTCCTATTTTCCTCACAACAACCAAGTGACTTTGGCTGAGAGACAGTAACTGGCTCAAAGTCACCCAGCCAGCTTATGTACCCAAGGCACAACTAGAACTCACTGCCTCCGGATTTCTAGCCTAGTGCTGTAACCATGAAACTAAGCGCCTCTTTTTTTGTGTCTGTTATAAGATCCTGTTATTCAAAGTTTTGTGTAGCAAATTTCTGATCCTGCTCTCAAAGAATTCCTGATAATCAAGTTTAAGATGTACCCAGAAATGCCAAATCTAAGCAATTATTGGATTATCTGGTGAAGCCCTGACCAGTTTCCTTCCACCTCTGTTTTTTGTGATGTTTATGGCTGCTGACCTTCTTGCGCTGCAAGACTCTCCCCTCTCGCAGGCTTGGCCCTCTTCATTATCGAGGGCCTACCTTGATGACAGATTTTGGAATCCCAAGAGGTGGCATGTTGCGAGGAGGGGGTTGTGGGGTTTTTTGGGGAAGTTTTTAGATAAGATTTTAAAAGGTTCTGGGAGGGCGGTGGGTTGTGTGGGTTTGGGGGATAACCCACGGGGGGGCTGGGCCGGCGGGGAGTCATGGTATGGCAGGTGCAGGGCTCGGGGTCAAGGAGGGTGCTATAGCTCATACCTATGAGAGCTCTTCCATCAGTACTGTGGGTGGGAGGCGCAGATTTGGTGGGAGCAGGGGGCCATATCTGGTGGTGGGGGCGCGCACTCGCTGTCTTTGAGCGGTGATGTGCTCCGGCCCCCAATGCTCTTCCCGTTCCCCAGGTTGCATAGACCCTCAGGGCCCGGGCTTTCGGTTGATGTTATGCAACGCCAGGTCCGTGCCAAATAAAGCCCCCCTCATTTGTGATCTTGTTCAGGATGGGGGAGCGGACCTGGCGGGGATTACGGAGACCTGGTTGGGCCAAGAGGGGGGTCCCCCTCGTTGAAATGTGCCCACCAGGCTTCCATGCATTCCATCAACCGAGGTCCCAGGGTAGGAGCAGGGGCTGGTGGTTCTTGTAATGGAAGGACTTGCTCCAAGGGAGACCACTGTACCTCAGATAGCCGGATGCGAGTCCCTGTTTGTGAAGTGGGGTCATAGGGCACAGATGGGCCTGCTGATTGCATACCTGGCTCCCTGCCGCGTGACGGCGGCCCTGCCCAAACTGCTTAACATTATTGCCGAGGTGGCAGTTGATACCCCAGGCTCTTGGTCATGGGGGACTTCAACTTGCCATCCATCATGGAAACATCTGAGGCAGCTCGGGAGTTCATGGCCTCCATGACGGCCATGGACCTGACCCAGTTAGTTCATGGCCCTACTCACACGGGGGGGACACACCTTGGACTTGGTTTTTGTCTCTGGTCAGTGGAAGAATGATCTAGATATACGGGATATAGTTATTGAGCCCTTGTCATGGTCAGATCATTCTCTCCTCCGGCTTGACTTTCTAACCGTTACACCCCGCCGCAGGGAGGCGGAACCAATTAGGTGGTTCTGCCCCAGGCACCTGATGGATCCTGACAGGTTCCAGATGGAGCTTGGGCCATTCCCTGAGGCTCTGGCTCACGGCCCGACTGAAGACCTGGTGGCCGCCTAGGATAGGACGCCTGCTGGGGCTTTGGACCGTGTTGTGCCTTTGCGGCCTCTGACCTGGCGCCGAACTCACTTGGCTCCTTGGTTTTCCGAGGAGCTGAGGGAGATGAACCGCCAGAAAAGACGCCTGGAGAGCGGTTGGAAGGCCAGCCATTCCAAATTTGACCGGACACTGGTGAGGTCTCATATTAAGACCTACCTAGTGGCGATAAAAACAGCAAAATTTAATTATTTTTCCGCTCTTATTGCGTCTGCAGATAACCGCCCAGCCGCCCTGTTTACGGTGACCCGCTCCCTCCTCCATCTGGGAGTGCGGGAAGACCCCTTGCAGGGTCGAGCTGAGAATTTTGTGCAGTATCTGCATGACAAAATCACTCAAATTCGGGAAGGCTTGGACTCTGACTGGGTGGATCCAGACGGGATGATGGAGGCGGGTTTTGAGAATATTATCTGGGAGGAGTTTGACCCTGTGGCTCCCGAGGATGTGGACAGGATTCTGGGGAGGCTTAGCGTGGCCACATGTTTATTGGACCTGTGTCCCTCCTGGTTGGTGCTGGCTTCCCGGGAGGTTACATGAGGCTGGCTCCAGAGGATCATCAATGCTTCGTTGAGTGAGGGTTTCTTGCCTTCCGCCTTGAAAGAGGCGGTGGTGAGGCCCCTCCTCAAGAAGCCTTCTCTGGATCCGGCTGTTTTGGCAAATTACCATCCAGTCTCCAACCTTCACTTTGTGTAGAAGGTTGTTGAGAGTGTGGTTGCGCGACAGCTTCCCCAGCACCTGGATGACACTTTCTATCTAGACCCATTCCAGTCCGGTTTCAGGCCTGGCCTTGAAGTGATGTCCTGCTGCCTGGAGGCCATGCGGGTCTGGATGGGGAGAAACAGACTCTGACTCAACCCCTCCAAGACTGAGTGGCTGTGGCTCCTGGCATCCCGATATAGCCAGCTGGTGCCATCGCTGGCTATTGGGGGGGAGTCATTGGCCCCCACGGAGAGGTTCGCAACTTGGGTGTCCTCCTGGATGCGCGGCTGTCTTTAGAAGAGCATATGACGACCATGGGAAGGGAGGCTTTTTATCAGGTTTGCCTGATCCGCCAGTTGCATCCCTTTCTGGATTGGGACTCCCTGCGCACGTTCACTCATGCCCTCGTCACTTCCCGACTGGACTACTGCAATGCACTCTACATGGGGCTCCCCTTGAAGTGCATCCGGAGGCTCCAGCTGGTCCAAAATGCGGCCGTGCGGATGATTATGGGAGCGGTGGGGCGCTCCCATGTAACACCTCTTCTGCACGAGCTGCACTGGCTCCCAGTGGTCTTCCAGGTGTGATTCAAGGTGTTGATTAACATCTTTAAAGCGCTCCATGGCTTAGGACCTGGGTACTTACAGGACCGCCTTCTGCTACCGACAGCCTCCCACCGGCCAGTACGCTCCCACAGGGTGGGGCTCCTCGGGGTGCTGTCGGTCAGACAATGTCATCTGGCAACCCCCCAGGGGAGAGCCTTCTCAGTGGGGGCTCCTATCCTCTGGAACGAGCTGCCCCCAGAGGTATGGAGGATCCCGGACTTGCGCACCTTCCGCCGTGCCCTGAAGATTTTGTTATTCCAGCAAGCTGGGCTAGCCTAATTTTAATGGTTTTAAATTTTAAATTGGATTTTAATGGGATGCTTTTAATTGTGGGCCAAAGTATTTAATCTGGTTTTAAATTGTTTTTAACTTTCATATTTATGTATTTGATCTTGGCTGTTCACCACCCTGAGTCCTTCAGGAGAAGGGCAGTATATAAATATAACAAATAAATAAATGAATAAATGAATAAATGAATAAATAAATTAATTTAGAGGCCAGAAACAGCATGCAATTGTGATACTTCTATCATCCCTCGTGTGCTCTCCTTGCTGCACTGACATGTGGCAGTTTACAACTTTTACAAATCTTTTTATTTTCTTTTAACATTTCTTTCCTGTCATTGGTTCTATTATTTACTACTTCACCCATTGTAATATCATGGAATTAAAATGTAAACTTAGATGAAAGAAAAATATAACTGCAACCCTCAGGAACTGAAAAGTTGACTACAAATCAGATTCAAATAGATTACATTTTATATATTTGAAGGTCTTCCTTCTTCCCATGTTTATTATGAATTATCAAAAAGAATTATAAGACACTAAGAAAATAAAAAGTTTCTATGAAGTTCCAATTAATCATATGCAAATTGTCCACTTTTATTTTTATTAAAGGATGTATTTCTGATCTGGCATGAATGTGAATTCAAAAATGTTTACAGAATATACATGTTAACTTTTAAATGCTAAACAAGACAACAGTAATTTTACCTTTGACGCTGACTGTAATAACATGATAAGCAGAACCCAAATGATTTGTTGCCATACATTTGTATTTTCCTGAATCAGCTTGAGAAACATCTATAATTTTGAGGGTTTTATGAAAATTGTCAAAGAAAGTCCTGTTGACAGGAAGATCACCACCCTCTTTGTTCCAACGGATTAATGGTGTAGGTCTAATAAAAGAAAATATCATTAAAAACAGTTGAGATTACAATGTTTAAGTAAAGTACATTTAGGAGTGTTTATTAAACTAATTTAATAATGGTTTTAAATCCAGACATATAATCATTTATTCTATGTTTTGTAAAAGGTACTAAATACTTATTATATATATTTTTTTATCCAAGATGGTGCCGCTGAAGGCTGAACTCTTAAAAATATCACTGGCTAGAGCAAACCTCCTTCCCAGGCTGAAGGAAATCAACAACTGGCAGATAACCTGAACGTATTTTACTGCAGGTTTGAAAGGAAACTACAGCCACCTATCTCCAAAACCCCCATCTCAGACACACCAACAACAGCCAAGCCTCCTACAACTGACCCCATCCCATTGGGTTCACAACCCCTAGTGATCACAGAAAAGGACCTGCAAGACCTATTTCACAGACAAAAGCCAGGAAAAGCTCCAGGCCCAGACAAGGTAACTCCTTCTTATTTAAAAATCTGTGCTGACCAATTGGCCCCCATCTTCACCCGTATCTTAATAAATCACTAGAGATGTGCTATGTTCCTTCTTACTTCAAATGCTCTACTATCATCCCAGTGCCGAAGAAGCCCACCATCAAGGAACTGAATGGCTAGTTCAGTTAGACCAGTTGCTCTAACATCTGTAGTCATGAAAACCTTTGAAAGACTAGTGCTGTCCCACTTGAAAACCATCACGGATCTGCTGTTAGACCCCTTGCAATTTGCATACCGAGCAAATAGATCGACATATGATGCTGTTAATATGGCTCTGCACTACATCCTACAACATCTCAAATCTCCAAAGACCTATGCAAGGGTGCTCTTTGTAGACTTTAGTTCAGCATTCAATACTATCACTCCAGACACACTTCTAACTAAGCTAAACCAGTTACAGGTACCTGAATACACTTGTAAGTGGATCATAAGCTTCCTAACAAACAGCAGGTGAAGCTAAGCAGAATCGCATCAGATACCTGTACAATTAGCACAGCCCCCCCCCCAAAGGCTGGGTGCTCTCCCCACTTCTCTTCTCTCTATATCCCAATGATTGCATCTCTAATGATCCATCTGTTAAACTACTGAAGTTCGCAGATAACACAACAGTGATCAGTCTCATTTGAGACAATGATGAATCTGCATACAGACGGGAGGTTGAACAACTAGCCTCGTGGTGTGACTGGAACAATCTGGAATGGAACACACTCAAAACCGAACCACCCACCGCCATTGCTACCAGATCAGGCGATCCGGTCCGAACCAGGAGCATTTCACCCCTAACTACTATTAATCTTCTCATCTTCTCATCGTTCCCATCACCTATCTCCTCTCACATATGAATGTATGACTGTAACCTTGTTGCTGGTATCCTTACGATTTATATTGATATTGTTTCCTGATTGCTTATTTGTAACCTATGACTATCATTAATTGTTGTACCTTATTAGTCTTGATGAACATATCTTTTCTTTTATATACACTGAGAGCATATGCAACAAGACAAATTCCTTGTGTGTCCAATCACACTTGGCCAATAAAAATATTCTATTCTACTTATTATATAGTATTTAAATTTTATTGGCTCTATTGCCTATATATTATGTGTTATCTTAATTGGACAAGGCTGAAAGGCAGTACTGCCACTTGGTATAATTTGATCAAGTATAATAAATATAATGGTATGTGGGAAAAACCTTGGGAGAGAGATGCTGCCAGGGGAATGATCAGATAAAAGACAGTATAGCCCCCAGTTGTATAGTAGGTATCCCCAGCTTTATAATGGTATCATTATTCTTATTTTCCTTGATTAAAATGACAACTCACAATCCTTCTGCAATACATTCCAGCATGAGAGTTTTTCCTCTTAGTTCAATTTTGCTACTTGAATTTCCAGGAGGTGTTAGAAGAGTTGGCTGTCTTTCTGAATAAAATCTGACTAAAAAAAAAAAGAAATAAGATTATATATCATTTAAATGGAAACAAAATCTACACTAAAACTAATTCTTTGTATCCAGTGCAATGCATGCATGAATGTATTTATACATTCAGTTAATTATATAAAAATAAGTGTTTTACCTAGGGTTCTATACTTGTTCGATTACCTAATCATATTGGCAAGAGATAATTTTGACAGAGATAAAGGTTTTGCTTTTCCTATCGTTTTTTTTAAACTGCAAATTTGACCACAGATTGCAAAAGCAACTTTTCCTTGGAAAATTCATTGTTTAACTCTAGTATAAAAACTCTTAGGATAAATAAAACACAACAATGAAAATACTAGGCACTGAGTTATAATGATGGGTAAACTTTTCCATAGAAAATCTTTGATTTTGAATTATATATTAATTTTAATTGTTATACAATTTAATTTAATTATCTTGCATGTATATTCAAACTCTTGCTCTCATTAATGGAATTTTGAATAGTTATATGCAAAGAGGACATAAAGTCCTTATTTACAGTAGCTCAATCCAGCTTTAGTTCCTGTGGTGGAATGTAGTCTCGATTCCCAGGAAGGAGGGGCTGCACTCCATAAGCAAAGAGACAATGAAGCATGAAATATTTGGTTGGGAGGAAAACAGTAAGAGGGATGCTCCTGCCTAGCAATTTCCAGAGTATATCTATATTGAGGCAAGTAGTTTCTTAGTTTAGCATGATTTCTGTCTATAAGTAAGGAACAATAAAGGAAACTATTCAGAAATAACTTCATATGTATTTCTTGGTTCCTAAGAGGCTTGGCAGTTCCACAACTTCTCTTAAGATAATACTAGAACTGTAATTTGATATAATTTTATTTTTTAGGGATTACTAACATCTGCCCATACTTAGTTTCTTAACTTGGGGATTACTTTTAATAATGGAATAAAGGTATATCCAGGGAGAAAGATGCTATAAAAAATAGTATGTTCCAGAAATCCAGAATGAGCAGATTGCCCTGCCCTGTTTTTTGCATATGAGCTTTATGCATTCAAAGAAAATAAATTATCTACTGTTTTAAGGGGAAAGGGGAAATTATCAAGCACTGTATCTAACAAAAATTGCAAATCAGCCAGTACAAAAATGTTCTAATTTTAATGCTGTTTTATGAAAAAGTAGAAGACAAATAGTAGTCTACATGTTTCTATTCCTTAAGTAGTCATGGGCAAGGGCAACTGAAAAGGAAACAAATTGCATTTGAAGGTAAGTAAAGTGAAGTAAAGGGAGCCTATTATATCAGACAGACAGACAGACAGACAGACAGACAGACAGACAGACATGCATGTATGTGTGTGTGTGTAATATATCTATATATTTGCATCCATCCTATGGTCTAAATATAAGTTTAATTTGATTTTATCGGGTTTTTAAATTTTGTGTATTTATGTATTTTATTGTTGGCTGTTCACCGCCCTGAGTCCTTCGGGAGTAGGGCGGTATACAAATCAAATAAATAAAATAAAATAAATAATAAAAATATATTATACCTATATAAGCATAGCTTAATAAATTTATTAAAAAGCTGGTAGTATAATAGACATATTACAAGCTGGTTTGTCTTTTTATTCATTGCTTTTAAAAAAAAACTAAAGTGGATATTTATAGAAAGAATAATTATAATGAGAACCATAGCTTTCCACCTTCATAAAGGACTGAAATAAATAAACAAAATGTCACATTAGAATGAATAATTTTAAATATGTAGCAAATGCAAATTGTTAAGTAGTTTAACAATACATTTAGTAAGGTATTAAACAGAACAACTAGTTTTTCATTGCTTTTTAACAAATTAATTATTTAGAATAAGTATGCACTATTGTGTAGTTCCAGGAATAATGAATCATCAGAAAATAAAAAAATGAAAATAAATATTGTTAGGTTGATTCTTGGGTCAAAATGAAACATGTTATTCATGCAAATATTTTGTTGTTATTTCCTAATTATCTAAATTTAATAATATTATGTAAATTATTTAACATATCTCCAGTTCTAATGAGATCTAAATTAATGTAGTATGAGGAAATCAGCCATGAATTAATGTTAGTTGACTACATTCTATATGAATGGAATAATATTCATCTCTAAAACTCACCACCATAAAAATCAGTGTCACTCATATTAGCAGTTAATGTTTCATTCAATGAATCCACTGAAATAAATAGAATATCATGAAGAATGCAGCCAACAAAATTAAATGTGGGAGTCAGAAATTAATCCTGTTATCACTACACCAATACTTTTAACCTCAAGCACAAAGGAATTTGGAACACAATCAGTGACCCTTCTTAGTGTCCAACATGTATAGATATATTTTGATTTCTCATGCTCAAGATAGGAAATAGTCCTCTCTGGCTGAGGAGCATGTTTGATTCCTTCAGAGTTAGTTCCCCTATACAAGAAATTCCCAAATATTGAGGAAAATCCATCCGCCTCATCCAAGAAAGTTTCTCAAAGAGGTCAGGGTTGTAATTGGCACAAATATGAAATATAATTATTTAATCTTTCCAGGCTACAGAAGCTATAAGTTGCTCTTCTGATCTACAATTTGTTTTTTTTTTGATGTGATTATCACTTGAAACTTCACTTGCAAATAGGATCTGAATTGGTATCATACCTAAAAACTTATCAAACTGTTTTCAAATGAAACTTGAAATTTTGCTAAGCAATTACTTAATCCTACTGATGTCAAAAGTACTGAAACTATTTAAGAATAGCAACATATACTGTTATAGTTGTAATAACGATATATTGCAAATTATTTTGACTCCTTTCTAAATATTTCATTTTGATATGTTGCAAGAAGGCACAATTTTGCAAGAAAATGTTTTCTACTATACCAATATAAATTATATTTTGGCTAAATATAATGTCTACAAACCAATTTAGAAATTCATACCTACCTGGTTGAACTTTTAATGAAATAGGTTGCTTCTGTTGAATAGTTTGAGTGTGGTTAAATCTTGCATAACATATATAATCTTCACGGCTATCTTCTTGTATTATATTAGAAAAATAAAGATCTCCATTTAGGCTTTGTGAAACTCTATTATTTTGAGGCAGCTTTTGAAAAGCTATAAAAATAAGAAATGAAACATCTAGTGCCAGCTCACAATATAGAATTATTTTAAGCATATATGTAAATTACTAACATTTTCTTCTGGCAAGACACTTCTGTTCTATAGCCACAAAAAATCCAGTTCAACTTGAATTTTTAACTTTAAGAGACATTTTTTTAAACTGATATATTCCACAACAACTTCTATCACAATGGCAGTTTCAGAACTATGTTCCAGTTCATACTATGGTTTGTATAACTCAGGGATGTCAAACTCAAGGCCCGTGGGGCCACCCTGAAAAGAGCGAAGGATTGGCCCGCAGTGCCTCTGCCAGCGAAAATGGTTGCAGGAGGGTGTCCCAGCCAAAAACAGAGATTGGGAGCTTGTTTTCGCTGGCAGAGCGCTCGGGCCGCCATAGGCACCAACACGAGTGACATTAACCTGGCCACGCCCATCTTGGCCATGCCTACCCCAGCCCCCAAGGTCAAATACAACCCTCATGCGGCCTTCAATGAAAGCGAGTTGGACACCCCTGGTATAACTCATTCCACGCATGGGAGATATACTTTATTTGTTTCAGGATTTTTATTATGTATTCAAAATTGAAAATCTAATTACAATAGTTAAAGTGAGACAGAATGTTAAAAAGAAGTAAGACATTCTAATAAAGAATATTAATTCCAATAATATGACTACATTAAATCATGTTCAGCAACAGAAGTTATAAAAGAGATATCTAACTGTAGATAACCTATGAAAACATTCTCCACTAATCACTATTACTACAATCACTATTATGTGTATTAGACAAAATACACTATTAGACAAAAATAAAGATATGAAATGTATTTAAAACAGTATAAGCAAATATTTCTTGAAAATCTATTGTCTAAGTACCATTGCTAAGAAAAGAACCAATAATTTTTTAGTAATTGAGGGTGAAGGTTCATTCTCTAAACCAACCAAACTTGTGGGTTGGTTTCCAAACGTTTCATTACAAGGCTAGGTAACATCTTCAATGTAGTTTAGAGAGTGTCAAGTGTTTTTCTGTGTATAAGGGCTTCATGAGGTCAGTAGGTCTTGTGATGGGTCAGGTGTTGGTGTGCCATCTTCAAAAAAGGAAAAAAAAAAAACAGACCAGGAAACTACAGACCAATCAGCCTAACATCAAACCCAGGAAGATACTGGAAAAGATACTGGAAAAAATAAAAAAACAGATCTGCCAACACCTAGAAACGAGTAAAGTAATAACTAGCAGTTAGCATGGGTTTGTTAAAAATATATCATGCCAAACCAATCTTATTTCATTCTTCAACATAGTGACTAAATTAGTAGACTCAGCCTGTGATTCTCAAAACATCTTTGCACCTGCAGATTGGCTTACTCGACACTGGACTGAGGGGAGGGGTCTCTGTTTTAACCAAACGGAATTGCATGGGAATCTTCAGGTCCTGCTTTCTTTGTCTTGCTATCACTTGCCTCTCAATAAAAATTTCCTTTTGAAATACTAATCTTTTCAAGAGTTCTACTTTCTTTCTTTCTTTTTTTGAATTTTTTTTTATTTTTAAACAAAACATAAAACATAAATCCATCATCCATTACAATTGCAAACAGGGTGTCGGTCGGTTACAAGTCTTTTGTGCTTCATCCCCACATTCAAAGTCTACTAATTATCTAATTTCTCATATTGTCAAACAAATAAACATCCTCATTTATCATTTATTTAACTATGTTTATGTTTATGTTTTATGTTTTATTTGATTTGTATACCGCCCTACTCCCGAAGGACTCAGGGCAGTGAACAGCCACAAGATAAAAACACATAAGTACAAAATTTAAAAACAGGATAAAACCGAATTAAATAATTTGGCTGAAGACAGATTTAAAACACCCCAATAAATTAAAACCAATTTAAAATTTGTATTTTAAAAGGGGAAAAAAAGGGAAAAATTAGGCCAGGCCAGCCTGATAGAGTTTTAAGAGCGCGGCGGAAGGTGCATAGATCCGGGATCCTCCGTATCTCCAGGGGGAGCTCATTCCAGATAGTAGGTGCCCCCACAGAGAAGGCTCTCCCCCTGGGGGCCGCCAGTCGACATTGCTTGGCCGACGGCACTTGGAGGAGCCCCTCTCTATGAGAGCATACCGGCCGGTGGGAGGCTACTGGTGGCAGCAGGCGGTCTCGTAGATAACCAGGTCCTAAGCCATGGAGAGCTCTAAAGGTGGTAACCAAGACCTTGAAGCGCACACGGAAGACCATTGGGAGCCAGTGCAGCTCACGCAGGAGAGGTGTTACATGGGAACGCCATGTCGCTCCCATAACCACCCGCGTGGCTGCACTCTGCGCCAGTTGGAGCCTCCGGGTGCTCCTCAAGGGGAGCCCCATGTAGAGAGCGTTGCAGTAATTCAGGCGGGAAGTGATGAAGGCATGAGTGACCGTGCGTAACACGTCCCATCCAGACAAACTGGCGAATCAGGCGAACCTGATGAAAAATCCTCCCGGTCATGGCTGTCAGATGCTCTTCTAAAGACAGCCTGAATCCAGGAGGACGCCCAAGTTGCGAGCCTTCTCCATGGGGGCCAGCAATTCGCCCCCAATAGTCAGTGATGGCACCAACTGACTATATCGGGACGTCGGAAACCACAGCCACTCGGTCTTAGATGGATTGAGCCTGAGCCTATTTCTCCCCATCCAGATCCGCACAGCCTCCAGGCACTGGGACATCACTTCAAGGGCATCATTGGGGTGGTCTGGGGTGGAGATGTACAGCTGAGTATCGTCAGCGTACTGATGGTACTTCACCCCGAAACCACGGATGATCTCGCCCAGCCGCTTTACATAAATGTTGAACAGAAGGGGCGAGAGGACCGACCCTTGTGGCACCCCACATATGAGGCGCCTCGGGGTCAACCTCTGCCCCCCTGCCAACACAGACTGCAACCGGTCGGAGAGAAAGGAGGAGAACCACTGCAATACAGTGCACCCCCACCCCTAACTCTTTCAACGGGTGCAGCATGATACCATGGTTGATGGTATCAAAAGCCGCTGAGAGATCTAATAGGACCAGGAGAGAGGAGCAACCTCTGTCCCGAGCCCTCCAGAGATCATCAACCAACACGACCAATGCCGTTTCCATGCTGTCCCCAGGCCTGAAGCCCGACTGGAACGGATCCAGATACATCGTTTCATCTAGGTGCTGGGGGAGCTGTCGCACAACCACACTCTCAACAACCTTCACCACAAAGCGAAGATTGGAGACCGGACGATAATTAGACAACACTGCTGGGTCCAGGGAAGGCTTCTTGAGGAGAGGCCTCATCACCGCCTCTTTCAAGGTGGCGGGGAAGTCACCCTCACCCAATGAAGCATTTATAATCCCCTGGAGCCAGCCTCGCGTCACCTCCCGAGAAGCCAGCACTAACCAGGAGGGACATGGGTCCAACAAACATGTGGTCGTGTTCAGTCTACCCAGAATCCTGTCCATGTCGTCAGGAGTCACAGGATCAAACTCATCCCAGATAACATTCTCAAGACCTGCCTCCGTCATCCCCCCTGAAACTACCCAGTCGGAGTCCATACCTTCCTGAATCTGAGTGATTTTGTCATGCAGGTACTGTACAAAGTCCTCGGCTCTACCCCTCCAAGGGGTCCTCCCGCGCTCCCTGGTGGAGCAAGGAGCGGGTCACCCTAAACAGGCCGGGCGGTTCTCTGATGACGCAATAAGAGCAGCAAAATAATTACATTTTGCTGCTTTTATCGCCACTAGGTAATTCTTAATATGAGATCTTACCAGTGTCCGGTCAGATTCAGAAAGACTGACCCTCCAGCTACTCTCTAGGCATCTTTTCCGGCGTTTCATCTCCCTTAGCTCCTCAGTGAACCAAGGAGCCAGATGAGATCGGCCCCGGGTCAGAGGCCACAAAGGCATGACCCAATCCAGAGCTCCAGCGGCCGCCCTGTCCCAGGCGGCCACTAGGTCTCCAGTCGAGGCGTGAGCCAGAGCCTCAGAGAATGGCCCAAGCTCTATCTGGAACCTCTCGGGCTCCATCAGGCGCCTGGGGCAGAACCATATTACCGGCTCCGCCTCCCTGCGGCGAGGTGCAGCGGTTCGAAGGTCAAGGCGAATGAGAGAGTGATCTGACCATGACAAGGGCTCGGTGATTATATCCCCTATCTCAAGATCACTCAACCACTGTCCAGAGACAAAAACCAGGTCCAGCGTATTTCCCCCCATGTGGGAGGGCCATGAATTAGCTGGATCAGGTCCATAGCTGCCATGGAAACTATGAACTCCTGAGCCACCTCAGACGTCTCACCCACGGACGGCAGGTTGAAATCCCCCATGACCATGAGTCTAGGGGTGTCAACTGCCACCGCTGCGATAACGTTGAGGAGCTCGGGCAGGGCTGCTGCCACGTGGCAGAGAGCCAGGTACGTGATCAGCAAACCCATCTGTACCCCATGACCCCACTTCACAAGGAGGGGCTCACAGCCGGCGGTCTAAGGAACAGTGGCCTCCCTCGGTCTAAGACCTTCTTTAATAATAACCGCTACCCCCCCACCCCTCCCCTGTGACCTCGGCTGATGGAATGTGTGGAAACCTGGTGGGCACATTTCAACGAGGGGAACCCCCCCTCCTGGCCCAACCAGGTCTCTATAATACCTGCCAGGTCCGCTCCCCCCTCCTGAACAAGATCACAAATGAGGGGCTTTAACTATGGCTTTATCGCTTCATAAAAATTATTTTTGAGTATTATATTTATAACATTCATTTCATGTTTCATATTTCATTTCCATGTTTTATTATCTAGCCATAAAATAAATCCCGTATCTTATAATATTGTTTATCTTCTTGTTCTCTAATTTCCAATGTCAATTTACTCATTTCAGCACATTCCATGATTTTCTTAATAACTTCATCTTGCGTTGGTATTTTCTCATTTTTCCAGTTTTTAGCAAACACAATTCTAGCCGCTGTTAAAACGTTCACAATCAAATATCTCAATTCTCTATTATATATTTCTGGCACAATCCCTAGTAAAAAAATCTCTGTCTTAAAGTCTATGTGTTTTTTAATCATTTTTTCCAACCATGTGTGGATTTTAATCCAGTATCTTTTAGCTTCTACACATCAATTCCATAACCAAAATTTTTCCCCCATGCAATCATTGTTTCTTTAACTTGTTCTTCTTCCAACTTTACCTCTAATAAATAACCATACAGTTTTTTAATTATATATTCATCAGAACCTGTTAAAATTTTATCTAAATTAGTCAAATTATTATAAAAACCTTCTGTTTTACAATCTTTATCATATCTAGAATGTACTTGCATATAAGAAAACCAGTTCATCTTTAAACCTTGTTCCTCCAATTCTTGCTTCGATTTAAGTTCACCCTTTTTATTCAATAATACACTATATCTAACGATTTGTTCCCTTCTAAATATTATTGAGTATGAAAATGCTTAAATCGTCGATAACCAGACTGGAATTTTTAAATAGTGTTGTTTTTTAAGCTTCTCCCAGTTTAGTAACAAAGCCTCTCATATATAATGTCTTGTAAAATACCCCTGTGTTTTTGTTCCCTTATACCATAAAAAAGCGTGCCATCCCAACAAGTCATGTCCTTCTAAAGTCAATAACCTAATGTTTCTTAGCATTATCCATTCTTTAATCCACATCAAACTTTTCACTTGATAATAAAGTTCCCAGTTAGGCAAACCAAAACCTCCTCTTATTCTGGCATCTTGCAACAATTTCAATTTTATCCTCGCCATTTTACTCTGCCAAATATATTTTAACATTATTTTATTCAAATGATCAAAATAATCTTTTCCCAGTCTAATTAGAATTGTCTGGAACAAATATAGAATTCTAGGTAGTATATTCATTTTAATTGTCGATATTCTCCCTATCAATGATAGTTGTAAATTTTCCCATTTTGCCAAGTCTGTCCCAATCTGTTGTTTGAGTTTATTATAGTTATTCTCTTTAAGTGTGCTACATCTTGCTGTCAAATATATCCCCAAATATTTAACCTTATTTATGACCTGCATCGCTGATATTTCCGCCAATTCTTCTTTTTGTTTTATTAACATATTTTTTGTCAAGATCTTTGTTTTATCTTTATTAATTTTCAAACCTGCTACTTTTCCAAACTCTCCTATTTTGTCTATCAATGTAATTATTGACTCTAAAGGATCTTCAAGACTAAAAACCAGGTCATCTGCGAACGCTTGCAATTTATATTCTTCCTTTCGAATTTTCATTCCTTTTATATCTTTTTCTTCTCTAATATTTTTATTTAGCACTTCTAATGTTAATACAAACAACAGAGGGGACAGTGGACAGCCTTGTCTCGTTCCTTTTTTTATCTCAATAGACTCTGTCAATTCTCCATTTATCATTATTTTTGCTGTTTGTTTATAGTGTATGGCTTCTATTGCTTAAGTGAATTTTCTACCAAAGCCCATCTGCTCCAATTGAAGTAACATAAATCGCCAATTGACATTATCAAAGGCTTCTGTGCATCTAGAAATATCAGAGCCATTTGCTTTTCAGGATGTGCCTCATAATATTCCAAAGTATCCAGAATTATCCTCATATTGTTTCTAATCTGTCTTTTTGGCAGCGACCCGTTTTGGTCAGAATGTATGAAATTATTTAAATATCTTTTAAGTCTTTCTGCCAATATTGAAGCAAAAATTTTATAATCTGAATTTAGCAGGGAAATAGGCCTATAATTTTTGATTTGTTGTGGGTCAGTATCCCCTTTTGGAACAAGTGTAATGTATGCTTCTGATCATGACTTGGGTATTTTCCTCTTTAACATAGCTTACATTCATAACTTCTAACAATGGGAGACTCAACGATTCCTGTAATGTCTTATAATATTAGGCTGGCAGTCCGTCCAGGCCTGGTGCCTTCCCATTCTTTTGTTTTTTAAGTGCTTCCGTTAGTTCCATCATTGTTATATTTTCTTCTAACATCATTTCAATGTCTTTAGGAATCTGGGGTAAATTCGCCTTTTGCAAGTATCGTTTAACATTTTCCTCCTTTATATTTTCTTGCTCATACAGTTTTCTATAGTATTCTTGTATTATTTCTTTTTTCTCTTTATTCCCAAATCTAATTTGTCCTTGGTCATCTATTAGTTGTGTTATTTTTCTTGATTCTCTCTCTTTTTTTCAATTTATATTCTAACCATCTACTTGGTTTGTTGGCATCTTCAAAATAGTTCTGTTTAGCACTTCTGATTTTTTGTGCTAAGTCTTCTTTTTCTATTAACCCCATTTTATGTTTAGTTATATCCATTTTTATTTTAATATCCTTCTTTTGTGGAAACTTCTGAAGTTCCTTTTCGAGTTTCTTGTAATCATCCTCTAGTGCTTTATAAGCTTGTCTTTTCTTAATATTTCTTTTCTTTGTATAATCTATTATCAGACCTCTGGTATAAGCTTTCATTGTATCCCAAAGATTTTGCATCAATGTGTCCAAAGAGTTCTACTTTCTTGACTTCCTGGGAACATGGCTAACTGAACACATGCATAGGGAGAAATCTCCGAAGGATTTCTCCCTGGGGTGCTGCTCTTCTGCCTTCTAACTGAGGGGACTGGTTTCCCATCAGCCTTTATGATCCAACGTTCAGGGTGTGTCGAAGAACTTCCACTCGGAATCCTTCAATACAGCTGTAAACTGGCAAACTGTTTCTGGAGTTGAACTCCAAAGCTATCTACATGCCAAAAGCTGGGAGGGGAGGGGCTGCAATCTGTTTGGGGGTTGAAGAAGCCATCGTTTTGAAATTCACCTTTCAAACGGATAGTAAGTTATGCCTTCCTTTTCTTAATCACCTTAAATGATTATTATTCTATCTTAAGTCCAGTGCCATTTTAGGGATTTCTTTTGTCTTAAAGAACAGGGAAGAAGGCTGCTAAGGCAAGCCAAATAAAGAAGTGTGCTGATGGGGAAAAAAAGGCTGATGGAGAAAGATAAAGATTGAAAGCTGTGATTTTAATTTACTATTGTAGTAATTGGTAGCTTGATCTTCTCAGCTGTGGGTGGCTAAAATCTTCAGATTCTGACTAAAAGAGGAAGCCAAGATGGTAGAGCAAAGTATTAGAGATATATTTGAAAGGTCTCTAAATAAAATATGCTAATTTATTGACCAGTTGTTTTCTGATGATAAAAAAATCCTTTCAAAGTACTTCTGAGATGCAACATGTGGAGAATGTTACCAAACTGCAGAGGCAACTTCACAAGTAGCTGAAAATGCAGAGGAGTGTATCACAAACTTGGAAGAACCGGATAATAACTTTCATTTTCACCTTTACTAGGGTTCAAATATAAACCTCTCAACACAACTGAAAGAAGAGTGTTGAAAAAAAATAAAAAATTGGGACTTTTTCATTAAGGACATTAACAAGGTTGAGGATCTCGTGATAAAAAGAAAGATCTACAAGTTTTTGATACCTTCAGAGAAGAAAAATATTTTACTCCATGAAGATAAACTGGAAGGTGTGACTGGAATCAGAATGCATTTTTCTCTGCTTGATATGTATAACTGAAAGAAAGGTTTGACCCAAAATTTGAAAAAAACTTTTTTACATATATATATAATGCTTAAGTAACTCTTACAGTAAGCAAAAGCTATTGAAAGTGTATATGGGTATCTGAGAGTACCCGTATTAAGAGAAAGTTAAAGAAAATGATATACCAGTTTAAACAAAAATTCTGTATGTTAAAATGATGTTTATAAAAGGAAAACAAAATCTATAAGGGTAGTTTGGAGGGAGGGAGCTAAATGCAATATTGATATTTAAAGCTTGTCTGTTAAGAAGTCAAAGAATAAGATGTATTCGAAATTTTTGATTTTTTTTTAAAAAAGTGTTTTTTTATTTTTAAAAAGTTTAGTACTTTGAAGGACTTTTTTTCAATAAGGCCAAAGAATTTGAAAGAATACAATAAATTTTGTAAATAAAAATGATGACAGTTCACAAAGATTACTAGGTGCAAATAGAAATATACATTATTTCCATAGCAAGGAAGAAAAAGCAGGAATGGTTAAACTGATTACTTTATTTAAAGAGAAAAATATGTTCTTATTTGGATATCACTTATGGAATTTGTGCTTGTGAAGAAAAAAAATGAAACTTTGACCTTGGTTTTGTTGATTAGAAAGATTTGGTGTTATAGAAATGACTAGTTATATAGTGTGTAAAAGCAAAAATTTGAGGTTTGAGTGTGTTTATCTTGCACTATGCTAAGAAGTGTTGGAAGTCAATGTCCCCTTTTCTTCCTTTTTCTCTTCCCCCTTGTATTTCACACCCCCTTTTCCCCATTCCCTTTTCCCTCCCTTAATTTCCTATTTTCTTTTCTTTTTTGTATTTTATATAATAAAAAATAGAAAAATAACTAAAAAATAAAAAGAGTTCTACTTTCTTGAGCAGAGAGGAGAGGCAGGGCCTTACAAATTCATTCAGAAATATATTATATAGTTAACATCAACCTAATGACTTCTCCTACCTGTGGAGATTAAACGTGGCAACTAAGCTCTGACAAACCAGAAGGTGATCACAGTCAAGGACTAACAAAAAAGACTCTAGAGAGGAACTCTTTGACTAACAACTGGTTGCTTAATGCCCTATCAAAGTTACAACCGATACTCCAAAATGTACTTATAATTCTCTGCTGAAGTTCTCATGGCTGCCTTCCATGGTCATATGACCGCATTTCAGTCACAGAACAATCTGCATATTCAGCTGTTTGCAGTGGTCCATCGTCATGTGACCACAATTTATAACATTTTTTGCTCAAAACTGGTATTTGCTTTCTGTTTTTGGCAAAAATGTCCCATAGTGAACAATGGGTTTTCTTAAAATTGTGCATTTAGTTAATGACCATGGTGATTTGCTTAATGACTACCACAAAAAAGGTCATAAAATGAGGTCTGTTACCTAATGACCTGCTTTTATGACCACCATGACTGTAATGAGTTGGCTTCATTATGGTAATAAGTCGAGGACTACCTATATTTTCAGATTATCAAATAACTGTTCTAAATTGGAGACTAAATCTAACATGCTAGGCCAAAGATTACCTGTTATAAGCCTCTGATTGCCATGAAAGTCATAAATTTCTAATTAGTTGAACCACAACATTCTGTAGCAAGCTACATTTTGTCATAATGATGAAACTTGAATTATGCTTTTGTGATAGAAGTGTTGCCATATACGGACTTCCGGTTGGTGAATCCCAGCGAAATGGCGCTGTGACAGCGATCGCTGCTTGCAGCACCACTTTTTTGTCGCGTTTGGGGGTCCCTTTGAGGCGTGGGAGCTCGGAGAGCTCCGCGGACGATAGCGGGGTGTCAGCAGGCAGAGCGGTGAGGAGCAAGCACTCTCTGCTGGACTGACTACCGCTGTCAAACTAACGCGGCGCGTCTGCTTTAAATGGCAGACTTGAAGCTGTGATAGCCAACAAAAGACAGGAAGCAAGAGGATTTCAGTGAAGTTGGTGCCTATGATCATTCGTACTACTCTCCCTTAAACACGCTCGGAGTGAGTTCAATTGGATTGTGCTGGCTGCGTCGGATAAGAAGGATCCTGGAAGGAATTGGCGGCGATTGTGAGGTTGGAGGAGATTGGTGGGAGATGAAATCGCAGACGTACTGGCGAGACTGAGGATACTTTTAGAAAGGGAGACGGAGCCTTCAGTGGATTGGATTGATACTTTGTTTCGAGCAAACAAACTCTGGAAAGTTAAGAGTATGGAATAAACTAATTGAACAAAGGAACTGGATTTTGGAAGTGCAGTAGCTGTCAGGACTAATAATAAGACTGTCTTGAGCTAAGAGACTGAGAAGGAGCACTTGGGGAAGATATATGGCTGATGAAATCTGAATGACAATGCAAATGGAGAGTGATTGAACTTAAGAGCAACGCGAAGCAGATCATACAGCAAAGCGTGCCTGCTGCATCATTGTAAAAGAATTTTTTTATATCTTTGGTTGCTTTTCCGCTGTGCTCTTTTATGACTGAGAGAAGGTATTGAGCAATTAATCAATCAACGAGTTGGGCAAATAACAACAACAAAGGGAAAAAAAAACATTAGAAAATTTATATATCTACAAGTATATATCTATATTAATATTATATATATTACATATTCCATTTTAGATAATCTAAATTAATTGTGAACTTATTTAAAATTTATTAAGTACTTTTTAGATTTTTTTATTAAGGAATTTATATACGCTATAATCTTTTATATTCTATAATTGGATCTTTCCCTTTCTTCTCCTCCTCTCTTCTTTCAATTATTGATTCTTAATTTTGATTAGCTTTTTATAACTTAAAATATTGAATATTGAGATTGCATAATTAATTATCTATATGTGTACTTAGATTGCTTAAGATATATTAGAAAGTCATCAGTGCTTAAGTGTTAAATAAGAGTAGGTAAAGATAATTTGCTTAAGTAGTGGTAGCAGGTGAGAGGGTTATCTTAGTTCAAATTAGCTTAACTATTAATTGATTAATAGGTGATTTATTACAAGATAGGTTTGTGCAACAGATAAAAATTTGAATTATTGATTCGTTGTATTACTAAACAATATTGAATAGTGGAACGGAAGGGAACGATATAATATAAATTCATTTGATTGAGGCAGTTAAATATTGGTGGATGACAATTTGGAAAAACATTGAAAATATAACAAGAAAACAGAAAGAGGTATTAAAAGAGATGATGAGCTTCTCATCCACGGTGACAAAAACAGGAAAGAAAACATCCTCAAATCCCATGATCACAACGACATCACCTGCTACACAGAAATTGACTGAAGGTTTCTCTAAAATGGAGAAATCAGGAATGCTACCCACAATGCAAGCAATGCAATCAACATTGACAGCAATACAGGACACGATGATTATGTTACAAGAAAAAATGTCTAGTAACCATACTGAATTGAAGACAGATATTAGGGCATTAGATCAAAAAATGATTGGCATACAGGAATCGATACAAACTAATACACAGAAGATTAAAAAGATGGAAGTTAAAATGGAACAACAGGAAAAAAAATTAGATACGGTTGACCAAAAACTGATGGAACAGAACAGGGAATTGGCAGACTCAATTACCCAATTGGAAATGGATCGAGCCTCCTTTTACCTCCGTTTCCAAAACATTGCGGAAGATAAGGAAGAAGATCTGTGCCAGGTGATGGCAGAATTAATTGCTGAGGTGTTGCAACAAGATAAATTGGACATTATAAAGGAAATTGACGAGGCGTATAGGGTCCAGACAAATTATGCACGAAGAAATAAATTGCCAAGGGAGGTGCATATAAGATTCGCAAGGAAGAAGGTAAAGGATATCCTCTATAGTATGGCAAGAGATGAGCCAATCATGTATAAGGGAAAGGAGGTGATTATATTGAAACAAATCCCAAGGAGGGTAAGGGAGATAAGGAGAGATTATAGGTTTTTGGCTACTCAATTAAACAAAAGGAATATTCTCTTCAGGTGGATCTTACCAGAAGGCATGTGGATCACGTGGCAAGGGAATAAAGTTAAGATAGATAGCTTAGTAGCAGCTCAAGAGTTCCTGGATCAATTACGAGCATCTGAAGAGGATCAAAGTAGTAAAGAGGAGTTAGAGGTGGAAACATCGAAAGAAGAAGCAACCCAGCAGATAAGAGAGAAAGAAGGGACATCGAAGGAAAAGGAGGAGGAAGATAAGGATAGTAAGGAGACAAAGAAAGACCAAAGTCCACAAAGAGTCACACGTGCCAAGAAGTATTAGGATAGTATACAAAAATT